TTTGCACCATGAAGTGTAGAGGTTTCTGTTCTTTTTTGTTTCTTCAATTAGATTGTTTCTATGTCTTCAAGTTTATTAACCTTTTCTTCTGCCATGGAGTTTATAGAGTGTTTTCACTCTAGACATATTTTCCAGATACAAAATTACTATTACTCTTTTTCATTTCTCTCACTAGTTTCTATTTCTGAAACTCCAGGTATTCTTCCACTGTGACTTTTTCTTTCAAGTCCTTTAACACTTATAAATCCTTTTAAGTCTGCTGATTCTAGATTTTGTGTAGAGGGTCAATTTTAGCTACTGTTTTCTCAGCAACAGCTCCCATCTTGTTGTCTGTTTTTTATTGTACACTACACACTGTAGATAATAGAACACAGACTGTTAGTTCTATTATCTTATTCTGGACAGTCTTAAATTTGGTTTTTGCCATGTACTTGATTCAACTAAATTTACTCTAAACACTGTCTTTGCACCAGCTGACCTCTGTACATTTTTTTTGTTGTTGTTGTGTTTTTCCTTTTTATCGGTACCGGGGATCGAACTCACGACCGCCTGCTTGCAAGGCAGGTGCTTACACCGCTGAGCTAAATCCCCAGCCCCTTCTCTGTATATTCTTTATGCAGGATTCTAGGTACTGATTCCTCTCAAGGTTCAGACCTCCCTAATCCAGATGTAGCTCAGAAACCCAGCTATGATACGGGTAGTCCAGTTCTCTCTTCACTAGATTTCCCTTTGTTTTGCAGCAAGTCTCATAATCCCCAACTCTGTGCTCTGATTCAAGCCAGTACCATAAATAAGAGTGTACTACTGGCCATCCTGCACAGCTGTCCTGCACAGCACAGGCGGCTAGCAGACTGACTGCCACACACACTAGCTTTGACTGTCAAGTGTTAGCACCTCTCCAATTGGCTACATTAAGTAGTTGTCTTTAATATCTGTCCAGAGTTTAAAACCCTTATCTATCAATGGAAGACTTATTCTAATACAAACTACTTTGACATGGAATTCCATTCACACGGTTTTTCTTTTAATAATCACTTTTGTTTCTTTTTATCTAATAGCCAGGTGTGGTGGCTCAATCCTAACTCTTTGAAGGCCGAGACAGGAGGATCTCCATAAATTCAAGGCCAGCCTAGGCTACCCTGTCAAAGGCCAGCTTAAACCCCCCCCCCAAAAAGAGTTATTTAATAGTTCCACTTTAAAATCGGCCTGGGACCAGGTTTGGGGTTCATGCCTGTAAACCTAGCACTCTGGGATAGTGAGCTAAGACTATTACAAATCTGAGCTCAGCCCGCGCAATTCAATGATTAGCAACTCTGTCTCAAATGAAAAATAAAAAAGGGCTGAGCATGCAGCTCAGTGTGGAGGCTGTTAGTTCATTTCCCAATATTGTAAATAAAAAAATAAATAAAATATTTGTGCTTATTTTTTATATTCTATAATATTTCTAATTTAACTTTTTGTTTCTTTAAACATTAAAACTATTTCATATATATTCCTTATAAATCCACTTTGCAAAATCCTTGGAATCTAATTCTGTTGAATAGTATGATTACAACTTCGACTTGTAATAGTTACCTTTCATGACTAGCTATCTGTGATCTCTTGGTGATTTCAACTATGGAAAAATTAGGGACTAAACTGAGGCTGCCATCCTCTAATAATGTACATTTGATCTCTTCAGTAGCTAAGGGACCAAAACCAAAGGCAGTCATTTACCCACTGTCTTAGCTTAATTGCTAAGTCTTAAATGTTAACTCCCTTCCCCACCTCTAGCCAGTCTGTCCAATACAACATGAATGTGTGTGTGTTTTCTAAAAATCTTACCTTTTTCCCTATACCGACTCCTTATAGTTTGATTTCACGTCATAATTTTTAGTTTATCCCTTGAGGTTTAATTTCCTATGAATCTTCCAATGCAACAGAAAATGTGATTTATAGAGAATCTAGTTGTTTTGAATGAAAACTTTCAAAGATTCCAGTCTGTGTATCAGGGGAGTTTCTTATGCCATTATGAAAGGGTACACTATGCTTTATTGCAAGCCACCAACTTTTCTAAGTTGAAAAGAATTATACTTAAATTTCTTATTTCTCACAGTAAGTACTAAGGATGCTAACAATCTTTTAAAAAATGCAGGATTAGGGGCTGGGGATTTAGCTCAGCGGCATAAGCGCCTGCCTTGCAAGCAGGCAGTCGTGAGTTCAATCCCCAGAACCGATAAAAAAAAAAAAAAAAGACAAAAAAAAATGCAGGATACTTTTAAAAGAAATTACATAACTCTGAATATCTGCCATGATTCAAGGGACATTTATGAAATGGCTACCTGTACTGGACCTGTACATCATTTCATGACATCTGTTTCTTTACAATCAATCCACAAAACAAAAATCAATGCATTTGGCAATGGCATCAGCATGACTACAAACTCAAGGTGCAATAAAATAGGTTAGCAAATCCAGAATATACTTATAATCACTTTCTTTTTTATTATGAAAAAAAGGCACCTCTTAAATGTCTCTCAAAAACTCGAAGATTTTTATAAAAACATTAGCAGAATGGAGCCTGCTCTGAGAAATACTGTTTCAAATAGTTTTCTCCAACACTAAAGCTATTCCAATATTCTAACTTTATACTTCAGAGTTTGGACAGAATAAAGTTAATCCTCACAGAAATTCAGTGTTCTTGATTGAACTAGGATGATAATGGACATTAATTAGAATAATGTGGTGAATGGTACCAGGAAGTTTTATACAAGAAAGCATGGGAGGGGAAAAAAAACACTAGAAAGAGATATTTACATCAAACATTATTGTATGCAATTCTTTTTTAGTTTCTATTACTTCACCATGTAAGTTAAGCTACATATTTATTAAGAGATGTTACACAAGCATGTATTTAAAATTTCAAAGGCCATGAAATCTCTCAGGACAAAGCAGAACTACAAATTTACGGAAACAGTCTTTTCCTCTCTGCATCCAGCTTTACATTTTTAAAAATCTTGATAGCAGGCAAGATCAAATAATTAGATAGTAAAACAGCAGCTTTAAAAAGTTACATCATAAACCTGTAAAAATGGGATCATACATCTGATTAGCAGAACTAAGAGTCGTCTTGGTTTGTCATATCCCCAAATCCATGATTTTCTCACTTCCAATCTAAAAAGAATTGAGGTTTCAACCTGGGAAGAGCAATGGCATTCCCTTTAGTTTATAATGTACGTACAAATAGTAGTACATTTTCAAGGGAAGACCAGTAGCAACCATGATCTAATTCTCTTGTTTCCCCAGCTTTAAGATGGCAAGCATCCAAAGTACAAAACAGAAGGTGGAGAAAACTATACTTACTGAGAACTTAAGATGATATATAATCTCCAAATTCTTAAAATTTAAGTTGTATGTCATGCATATTAAAGAATTAATGTAACAAGTACAAATTATAAAACCTAAGAAATAAGCACCCAAAACTCACAATTTAAGAACTAGGTTATTACCAGTGTGGCTGAATACACACACCTTCCTGCTGCTTCTCTATTCTGCTTCACCAAAAGGCACCCAGAAACTGAATCTTGTAATTCATCATTTCCCTGCCCTTTTCCATAATGATCTCACATAACCCCAAATAATAGCTTGTTTTTCTAGACATACACTATATGTGGTCTTTTACAAATTGGTTCTTTCAGTCATGGGTTTTTGTTTTTTTTGGTCTTTTTGAGACAGGGTCTTGCTGTGTAGTTCAGGCTGGCCTTGAGCTCACTTTGTAGCCTAGGCTGGTCTTGAACTCACAGTGATCCTCCTGCCTCAGCCTTTCGAGTGCTGGGATTTCTGGCTCTCAGTCACATTTTTAAGATACATCTCTCTACTCTTGTCACTGGACATTAGCTCTTTCCTCAGGGATTATAAAGACTCAAATATAGGTTACCATTTTTGTGCATCTTTTTGCTTGCATGGCAATTACTATTTAATACAAGTATTTCCCCTATTTTACTTTGCATTTTACTCACACCTTAAAAGACCCAAGGAAGGTTACTGTAGAGGGCAGGTTCTATGCTCACCGGGGGAAAAGGTGCAGCCAGAAAATTACACACATTGGTGATCCCCCACTTTTCTTTGGTGACTTTTAAAAAAGTTTCTACGGAGTAGCCAGCTGTGTTTTACTGTCTCGATCTAAGGTGAATGAAAGTGGGAAGACTAAATATATAGCAAAACCACTGTCATTCGCGATGATAAGATTACTGGTGTTAGATGAGATTTAAATATCCTGAAAAAAATTTTAAAAAATAAGAAGAAAACTGCGTCAGGGACTTGGGGACCAGTGAGTCTTTAGTGAAATCCAGGTACCCAGACCCAGTCTATGAAATCACTCACGAGCTTCTTTGAACTCACTACTCTAGTCGAGGCATTACAGAGCTTTACCATATACAGACATGTTTTGATAGGCTGCCCCCTTGTAAATTTACCTTGAACTACTTCCAGGTGGACATCACCTATGGACTATAAAATCTGTAAGAAAAGAATTAAGATTTGCCATGTACACGTACCAACTACTGCAAACAGGTACTGATAAAAATTAGAAAAAATGTGAATCACGTGAAGCGACACACCAGGTACAGTCCTATCATCAAATCACTGTGTTAATGACATTTTCTGTCAAGCTATTCTGGATTTGGAATTATATCATACATATATCTTGACTGCTTTGCCATAAATATTTATCTATGTAGAAAACTGTATTTTAAAAATCTAATTTCAGGATACACAATTAGAGCAAAATAATAAATTAAAAAACATAACGCTACTCATAGGGGAAGAAATGCCCCAAAGGCTAACGCGCACCTCGATGGGCCGGACGACAACGGGTTACAGGAGGGTGGGTGGAGCTACGCCCCCCCCCCAAAAAAAAAAACCCGGGAAAACTGAAAAGGCTTTTCGGCCAACTCCTATCTGCTCTCCTTGCTCATACAGGGACACTCAAATCAAGACTGCCCGGGAAAGGAGATACCTACCGCATTTCGGGACTCGGGAGGCGCCACCACTGCTGAGGAAAGGAACTGCCCGCTTCTCCACACCTTGAGGACCAGCCTAGCAGACGCGACACCGGAAACGCAGCGCTAGGATGCCGCGTCACACCTTATGCGACCCGCCGGACACATGCTCCGCGCCACGAAAGAACCGAGGGCGCACATGTAAACAGAGGTGTGGAGGGAATCGAGGCCTAAAACCACCTGTCCTACGCAATACATGATCCTCTCACACTATTTTAGCCATAGAAACCCGGAACAGAGGAGCAACAGCCATACATATCTTCTCTGAATCTGTGATTCCGGTTTCTAGCCGGAATGTTTTGGAAAGTGCTCCGCACCTTACTTCCGGTGGAGAGGAAAAGGCGCGGTTGCCATGGTAACCGGCGGCCGGCGGACGTCTGTCAGGCGGCTGAGGGGACCCGGAGTCGTTGAGAGCTGCGCGTCCTCGCCGGTGACCCGGGTGAGGCAGCTCGCTGTCTCGGCCTCCTCCTTGCCCTGTTCCTCCCGTGCGGCTTTCTCTTCCTGCCCGCGGCCTTTCCCTTCCCTGTCAGTCGTCCCCGCGCGGCCCGACACGGCTTTCCGGCCCGGGGTCCAGGCCCTGGGCTCCACTGCGGCCGCAGCGGGCTCGGGCTGCAGTTTAAATAAAGGAGGTTTCCGAGCCCGAGGGGTGGGTGCATTTCTGTCTTTATGTGCGCTCCACTCTCGTCTTCCTTCCCAGCAGGGAAAAATCGAATCCTGGAATATTTCCGCTGTGGGATTTTCACGCGAGACAGTCGCCCCGTTGCAAAGCGTATTTGAATAAGATCTAACAACATTTAGATGCTGAAACCGCTTGTTGCAGAGGGAGCATTCATTCTTCCGCGTTGCAATTACCGCCCCCCCCCCATTTGCCAGGAGTTCTGCGCACGCATATGTGTTTAAAACGGCGATGTTAATTATAGTGATTCCAATTTGCAGTAACCAGACTGTGACACCACATCCCTGTGGGGTCCTTCGAAATCTGGCGTAATATGAAAGTGTCAGGCAGGCAGCCTGTGTATTATAAATAGGGTACTTCATCCATGATAAGTGATTATTATCTTTCTTTCCCAAGTGTAAAAGACCTATATAATTCAAAAAGGTGCCAGTGATTTAGGCCTCCTGAGTAAGAATCCAATGAGTCCTGAAGGGGACCCTACCTGTGTCATCTTATTGTTGAACTTGAAATATTCAATTTATTAGGTTGGAATGTATTTTTAGCCGTCAGCTGGATAAAGTAGTGTTGGGAGCTGTTAGACCTCCAGCACAAGTCGGACCGCATAGAAGCCATTGTTTAAAAAAAAAAAAAAAACCTTCCTCCACAATAACAAGGGAGACGCTTATTGAAATTCACCACTTCTCAGTGCTTGCTACCAGCTAGGTGGAACTTTGTGTCTCAATTTGTTCATCTGGGAAACGGACAAAAGGTACCCGATCACAGTGGTGTTGATAAAACAAAATGTTGCACAGTTCATTAAGCTCGCACGAGCAAAAGTGCTGTGTAAACCCAAAATAATAGAAGAACACAGTAAAGTCACAATGGTAACCCTATAATGGAATTTTCAAAGTTCAGTTGTGTGAAATACTAAATCCAGATATTAGTGAAATGATGTGGTTGATCCTGTTGTTTGAGGGTGGGTGCCACCTGCCAGTTCCTTGAGATAAAAATTCTCATGGAGTTTCCCATTATCTGTAGTTTATTGCACACTTGTTTGAGATCAGGCAGTTAATACTTCTCATACATTAACTGATTTCCTCCTACCAACCAGCTGAAGTCTTCTGGTTTCTGTGTCTTCATGACCATGCCTATTTGAAAGGTGTGGTGACATTTGCGTTTTGGGCGATCAACAGAAACTAAACCAAATCTTTCAATTATTTTCTAATAGAATGGCCACCAGTCCAGGAAGTGACATCGCTTTTGCCAGTCAGAAATCTATGCCTTCAGAGAACCTTCGAACAAAGAAACTTCCACTAAGTGAAGAGGAGGTCTTTTACATGAATTGTAGAGCTGTCTACTTAACTGTCTTCAAAAGCAGCTTAGAAAACATTATTTCTAAAGATCAACTTTACTTAGGTAATTTTTAAACTTAAATATTTTGCTTTTTTGTTGAAAGATTGCAAATAAAATTCTATTGTTAAATAATCCCAGTTTCATAGTTATGCTTAGCCATAGCTATAAACTATTGTGCTGTTTTATAGTTACATATTCTAGGAACTTCAAAATAAAATTTTCTATTTTTTTTTCATCTTTTTCTTTTTTTATTGGTACCAGGGATCGAACTCATGACCAAGGCAAGGTGCTTATGCCACTGAGCTAAATCCCCAGCCCCCAAAATAAAATTTTCAATATTTGCATAGTTAGGTTGGGGATTTAGCTCAACAGTGTTGTAAGTGCCTGCCTGGCAAGCATGAGGTCATGAGTTCGATCCCCAGTACCGCAAAAAAAAAAAAAAAAAAAACCTTATATTGTCTAGATGGGCATATTTAAACCTTTTTTCAATTTATTGTTAAAAATATTTTTAAAATTCTCACTGTGGTCCTTTAGGGTTATAATAATAGCATTAAAAACACTTTTGGCATCTGCATCACCAGTCTGAATTTTGACCTGTATATGAGAATGGGAAATACCAAGCAAGACCCCATCTAAAAAAGAAAAAATAGGGTTCAGATGATGATAAAAGAAAAGTATCGGGAGATGAATGAAATTTTAAAGAGAATGAAGGATCTAGCGTTGTTTGTTTAGTCTCCATTATCATATTTCCAAATTCTGCTGTACAAATATCCTTGAATTACTGAATTTGTTCCCTGCTGGGACATCAGATACTTGGAGGTCTCTAGTCACCAGAAAGGGGTGACAGTACCTGTTAGCGAGGTCTGTTCATGTCAGTGTCAAGCTTCCTCACTTGAGGAGCAGAGAAATTGACTTGTTTTGCCAGCTTTAGAAGTAGTTTCCCTTAACCAAAACTAAATTACTCTGTAGCAAGGTTTTGGGTATGAATGCAGTGAGATCTTTATTTGAAAAAATTCATTTTGGAGAAGAAAATTGAAAAGGTTAAAATATATTTGATAGACATAATACAAGGCATTATTTGTAAAACAGTTTGAACACAAATGACTGAAGCAGTTTGTAAAATTATTTTTAATTTCACTTTGGTTTATATGTAGTTTAGTTTTGTTTGCAGCGCTGGGTTCAAACCCAAGGCTTTGCACGTTGTAGTCAAGCACTCTACCACTGAGCTCCAGCCCTCCACAATTTAAAAACAAATAGATGTTCCATCTTGCAATTTAAATATTAGTGCTTGATATATGTAAATTGTTATAGGAAGAAATCCAATTAATTAAAATTCTAGTTCATTGCTATTCCTAGAATATCTTGAGTTTTTCTTTCTTCTTTTGAAATAGGCTGAGGTAATGTTCTGTTGTATTTAAAAGCGTAACATGCCCTCTGCTGCTTAAGCATAGGGTTGGTGAAATCAATAAGTCTGTATTAATAAGGTGCTAACCTCTTAGAAATTATCTTGAAAGATAACACTGCAGTGTTTGTCTTTTCTATGTTACATACTCTTTGGGTTTTATAGTGGAATATTCCTTTTAGCATTATAGTAATTGATTTCAGATAATCTAGTTTTTATAAAGGAGTAATGTGAATCAGCGATGTCTCTTTCTTACCACTGTCTTTCATTGATAGCCTCCTGCCACTTAGGCAGTGAGCTTTACAGCTGTATTTTTGCCTATTCATAAATAATACAGGTACTAGAGACTTGTGTTAAAGTTTAAAGTAAACCTTAGCAAAAGATTAGTATCTTAGTGTCACTTTTGAATAGCCACCATTACATTGTGTTTTCCTTATCATCAGACTTAATGAACTGATGCTAAACATCAGGACCAAAGTTAGTAATAATTAGATTATATCAGTTTCCTAGATTGGGGATATCTACTTACTCAGTACATTTTGGCATAATTCTTTTGTCACTGAGGATAGCAACCCCATGAGAAATGCAGTTATGTACCTTCTTTTTCAATGCTGGATAGAAAGTATCACTTTCTTGCCTATAGATTTTTTGACTTTCTAATTATAATTTCATTTACATTCTGCTTCTGTTCCCAGTGTTTCAATGATGGGGGTGGCTGGGCATATAACCCTGATACAGGCTTGCCACTTCTCTGATTGTATTAACAGATGAATTATGGAATTGTCTGTTCACGTGCTATGCAGTGCTTACTTCTGTTGTTAGGTAACCATGGGAATCAGGGATTTTGTCTACAACCAAAATAAAACTGTGGAGGTCAAAGTTCTGTTATCTCCAATGCTACAGATTTCCAGAGTCTTTACACATAAGAGGAACATGGTAATTACTTAAATTACAACTTCTGTTAGAGCCAAAGTTCACCTCTACATTATTTTCTTGCTGCTCTGTGCCAGAGTTTAAATTAAATAGTAATGATGCCCTGGCATAATTTGGAGAATCAGAAAATTGCTCTTCAAAAAAAAAAAAAGAAGGAAAATTTCTAAAATAGCATTGACCAGCTGGTGTGGTATTATATGCCTGTAATCCCAGCACTCAGCAGGCTGAGGCAGGAGGAGGACTGACTTGAGTTTGAGGCCAGCCTCAGCTCTGTGGTGAGTTCAAGGTCAACCTGAACTGCATAGCAAGACTATACCTCAAAAAACTAAAACCAAAAAAAAAAAAAAAAAGAAATCATTGACCATAGGTCATTACCCCAGGTAGCAATCTTATACTTCAGATGTAGACTGTGTTACAGAACTTCTTTGTAATTGAAAATTTTGTGTCTCTTGAAACAAAATCACCATAGGTATCCCTGTATGCAATATTTGTTCAGCACAACTCACTCATCTCTATTTTCTTGAGGATATTTCTTAAAATTGTTTTGTATTTATTGGTCTTTATTACATTAAATTGTACAGCAGTCTGATTATCATTTTGAGTGCTGGCTCATTATATACTGGACTTGTGCCTTCCATCTAAGGTAGTTGGAAATGCCCAATAGAAAATTTTATAGTTCAAATTGGCAGCCAAAGAAATATATCTATATATTTTGACAAAGTTATAACTCAACTTTCTATTAATTCTTTCTAAGTGCTTAGGAGATTTATCATTAATTCATTTTATATAGAGTTCTGTCTTAATATACAGACGTTTATTTGCAAATTACCAAGGTACATTATATTTAACTGTACAAAGATACGGTATATTCACATATATGTAAAATGGACTTCAGTTGTAATATTTAAGTGTGACATGAAGTATGCAAATATACAGAGCCTTTCTTATGTTGTAATTATTTCATAGATACAAGGACATGGTTAAAATTGACAAGTATTTTAACCACTGCATCTCTTTGATAGTTGTCTCTCAGAATATATTAATATTCTCGGTATTTAGCAGGGCCTTGACTGTAAGCAGATGTATGAGGCATGGGAGGAAACATGACTCATGAGAGCCGACCTAGCAATGATACATAAGTTAGGTGTCGTGCCCTTGCTGACATTAGAGTTATTTCTTCACTTCATTAAAATATTTGCTGAGCTGGGTGTGGTGGTACATACCTATAATCATAGTACTCTGGAGGCTGAGGCAGGAGGATCTCTATTCAAGGCCACTACAAAGTGAGCTCAAGGACAGCCTGAATTGCATAGTGAGACTCTGTCTCAAAAAGACAAAAAAGTTAATTAAGAAAATTTGTTGAGCAATAAAAATAATGATTTATGTTTATTCCTGATCTTTATGGCCTTAAAACAATTAAGTGGGGGCTTGGGATTTAGCTCAGCGGCATAAGCACCTGCCTTGCAAACAGGCAGTCGTGAGTTTGATCCCCAGTACTGATAAAAATGAAAAAGACAAAAAAAAAAAATTAAGTGGATGATGTTTTTAATCTTTGCCCCTCAAAAAGCGCTCAGTAAGTCTGACAGTCAGTTTCTTAAAACATGTCGGTTGAGAACCAAACTGTCAGGAAAGGAAAAATTTATTTAATTTGAGCATTAATAAATCAAGAACCTTTAGTGGGCAGCACATATATTTTGTTGTTAGAAGTCAGACATACACTGATATAACTACGTAACCAGAGCTAATGGATTGCTACATATGGGATTTGCGTAATATTGTAGTAGATGATGATTTGAAGAAAAAGTACCCTGGGACACCAACTCCAGGCATTACAGTGACAAACATTTGTCTCATTGGCAGCTCTTCAGCATGCAGGAAGAAACCCATCCCAGAAGACTATTGATAAGTACTGGACTCCTCAAACTGCCAAACTCAACTTTGATGATTTTTGTGTAATTTTAAGAAAAGAAAAACCTACTTCAAAAGCAGAACTGCTAAAATCATTTAAGCAATTAGATGTAAATGATGACGGCTATATTTTACACACCGACCTTTATAAATTTCTAACAAAGGTAAGATCTGTGAAACAAAGATTTAAAAAAACAACTTGGAATCTAGCTTTGGCTAGAAAATTCATTTAAAAACAATCACTTGATTTCTGGGTGTGCTGCCACAGGTCTGTAATCTTAGCACTTGGGAGCCTGAGGCAGGAGAATCCCTACAAGTGTGAGACCAACGTGGGCTACATAGTGAATTCACAGCCCGCTTGAACTGCAAAGCAAGACGCTGTCTCCAAAACAAGAGCAAAAGATTGACGTCCTTGACAGATGAACCTACATCCAGATCCTTCTAGGTGACACATGGAGTTTTCAAAGGGAGACAAAGTATAAAACTGAGCCCGCTTTGCAGTCCCTCTGTGCTCCCACACCGTTCTTTCCTACCCAGAAGTCTTTGCAAATCAGGGACAGGTCCACAAGTGACAAGAGGAGAAGGAAAAGAAAATATAAAAGGCACTAGGGATCCACTGCATTTCTTGGTACAATATTTAAAAATACTATTACTCTAAATTTAGTAGCAGTTATAATTCCACAAAATACAATTTAAAATTTGGTGAACTGAAACTGCATGTTTTCACAAAATTTAATAAAATTGTGAGTTTTTATGTAACAGCCTGATTATTGCTTGACATAGTGCTCATTCTGATTTATCTTGAAGCCACATGTTCCAGCTTATTTGTGGAAAAGATTAAAATGTATTTCCATATCCCAATGAGTAACAGAGTGGTGATCATGTTGTTTTATTTTAGAGAGGGGAGAAGATGACTCCGGAAGAAGTTAATACTATAATAAATTTGCCCAACATAAATGCTGATGGCAAATTTGACTACATTAAGGTATGTAATTTGCATATTATTTATATTTTAGTTTTCCCTCAGCTTTCTTAAGGTATATTTGACAAAATTATGTATTTTTATGACACACATGTAATGTTTTGATATGGGCATACATTGTAAAATGATTAAATTAAGCTAATTAATGTTAGAAAAGTTTTGGGTTTCTTTTCCCCCTAAGGGCTCCACTTATACTATGTTTTGGGTTTCTTTTCCCCCCAGGGCTCCACTTACACTATGTACAAATCCTAGGGAGCTACACCCCACACCCTTGGGAAAGTCTTGAAAAATTACAGCACTTTTTTGGGTAAACATTGGCAATGACATAGATACTTGCTATGCATTCATTGTATTTGAAATTCTCCTCAATTCCAAAACTGCAATATGATAACTACATTCAAAAATATTATCCAAATATCCAAAATTTAAGTTTTCACTGTTGACATGATGCCGCAAGTGAAGAATTCCACATCAGAATTGGGCATAGTGGCACGGATTGTAATCCCAGCCACTGAACATGAAATTTAGAAAAAGTGACTCAAAATTGAAAGAAAAGAAAAAGGTTGGGAGGTAGCTCATCACTGTAGCGCCTGCCTAGCATGCCCAGGGCCCTGGGTTCAATACTCGGTTCTTCAAGATAAGAGAAAAGTAAGACAGAAGGAAGGAAAATTCCACACTGTGGCCTCTTGTCAGGCTTCCTGTCAAAATGCAGGTACACCAAAAATATTAGACAAAACTCCTTTTGGGGTACCATAAAGTTGTATATGAAACCTCAGTGAAGTTCGGGTTTGGGCTTGGGTTCCATTCCCAAGGTATCTCACCATGGCTATGCAAGCACTCCAAATCCCAGATGAAAGTCCAAAATGCTTTTGGTTCCAACATTTCTGGTAAGAGCTATTCAGCCTGCATAACAGACTTAAACTGCGTATGTGTGTGCACACAGACACACAAGCAATAGAGATTCTCTTCAGAAATGTACCTTTTCCAGGATGGAAGAATTCTAAAATTATGTAGAACAAACGTAGGTCAGACCGTCTTGTAAAAATAATAAATCACTTCTCCCAGTGTAACATTTTATTCTCACTCAGCATGTGACCTCCTCCTTGAATGATGGCCGTATTTCCCCAGGTCACTGGAGGCTGGTCAGTCTGATTCAGGAAAATAAAACTAGAAACCCAGTGCAGGAAGAAATATGTTCCGTCTCTCAGTCTATCCTCCCCCTTCTAATGTGCATTTGCCTTCTCTTCCTCCCAAATGCATGACTGAATGTTTTGCCCACCGGACTCCTTTTTTATTTCCTGTAGTTTTGTAAATTATATATGACGACCAGTGGGCAGTGTCTCAAGACTGCACTAGAAAGGCTTCAGGTTGACAGTAAACAGAGGCGTCAACAGTTTGGAAGCCACATGGAAGAGCTCCCTGCAAGGGACCCATCATCAGTTCTAAAACCTTCACCTAGGATCCTGAGGAACAGTGACCAGGAAACACTCTCAAATAGAGGTACTTACGCTGGGCACTGTGAATTTCTTCATCGAGAATGAAGGGTAATTATTCAGAACACATTTGCCTTCCATCCCAGCTTAGTGATAGATGAAAACTCAACTTTCATTGGCTACAATGTCTAGACTCTCTTAGCTGTAAAATCTCTATTGAAGTAAAATTTTATTATGGGACTTGGCTTAGCTATGCTCATTCTATTTTATTAAAACTGAAATTTCAGAGTAAATGCAACTTTTTTTTTTTTTTGGTGGTACTGGGGATCAAATTCACGACCTCACACTTGCCAAGCAGGCACTTAGGCCGCTGAGCTAAATCCCCAGCCTAGTGCAACATATTGAAATAAGGAATCTTATTAGTAATCCATAAATTGGGAACCATTAAGGCCCAATAGATATAGAACTTTTTAACCTTACTTCAATAGGGAGGACCCCAGGCATTATTACAGTGGACCTTTTATACCACACTGTGTTTAGAAACAAGTGTCTGTTGACAAGTTTTCCTAACTGGAGACCAAATCACGCTTATGTTTCACAGGTGACCCCAGGGCTTCTTTACTGTCAACAGCTAGAAAGTTCAAAGCATCCGTTACCTGCACAATATCCATGGCTGCTAACGGAAACCAAAATGCTAAGTTAACCGAGCCAAACCTAAAGGTAGAGTATTGTAAATTGGCAGAGATAACTTCTTCTGAAAAAAAGACTGATGCTGAGTTTATTTATAGCTATTTTGTGGGTATATCAAGCCAGTAATGTTGTAAAGTAAGGTTCTTGTGGTTCTTTAAGAAATAACATTTCTGCATTTAAACCAATTGTAATATTTTTAAATAACAGTAATAAATATTACATAAGGTCTTTAGTTTGAAAATGGCAACTCCTGAATATTTGAACTTGATGAGTGGGTTATCTAGTTATGTATCAGACATTCTCCATCGGTGTTTCTGGTAAATAACTCATTCATTCAGTGTCAATTCCTGAGAGAGAAAGGCAACAAAGTCACTTTGCTAAGTCAATATTTGTAGAGTGTTAATATTGATCTTCTTCCTTTGTTTTTCCTTTTTAGACTCAACCTTTACTAGTTTTCTTTCAACAGAAAATAATAGCTACAGAAATATAAAATATTAACTGGAACTGCTAGGGTACATTAAAAATGTGCGCCGGGAGACCTCAGGAAGGGGGGATGGTTATGGCCACAGACTGTAACTGCTGTTAGAAAACTGAACTGATTGTTCTCAAGAGCTACATTTTTGTTTCAAATAACAACTCTGTATTTGTTATTGAACTCTGAAGTCCCTTATATCTTTAAGTTGCTAGACAGTGACACTTGTTCTGTATTAAAATTTTAAAACATTATCTCCAAGGAATTCTGCTCAGACCATAGGAGTCTGTGCACCCTGAGCAGTTCACTGTGCATGCCCAGTGTGTTCACACAGCGTTTAGTGTCCAGCAATCTTACTTCTACAAATAGAAACTTTTCGTATTTACAACTAGTTAAGTGCTTATACCATTGACTTCATAATTACTGGTTATCTGATTTAAAGGTATAAATATAATTTTAGTCAGTGCAGGTATAAATACTATCATAGATTATATCAAATCATAATGGCCTTTTTTCTCTGTGCCATTAATTGAGACTATACCATATGCCAGCCATTTCATTTAGTATAAATATGAACCTTGATGTAAAACATAGAAATTATCACTTGGTTATTAACATATACCGTAACATTCCATTTATTCAACAAGTATGTATGGACTGAAGTACTGCATGCCAAGCTTTGCTCTGGTTGATGATGTGCACTGGACACAGTCTTGAGCTTGACCCCTCGCTTTTCCCTTAGTAACTGTGCCAGCCGGGTAAGTTAATCTGCAACCCTCTGGGTATCAGTTTCCTTGTCTGTAATTTGGAAATAATTACATTTAGTATGTTTTGGAAAATCTTAACTCATCTTAGTATATGTAAAACATTTAGTAAGGTAGCAAGGTAGTAAGGTAGACATACGGTATTCTGTAATGAACTATTGGGCAGTTAGTGTACTATGGATCTAAGAAGAGACTAGGTCTTTAGGTGGTAATGTCATGTAAGCACAGCTTAAGAACAGTCTGTGTAGAATTGTATTGGAGGGAGCTACCTTCTGGAGACCAGGGTGGATATCGAGATAGGAACCATGAGCCCTGACCTGGGCCCTGCTTGCTGTCCTAGGGAAGGGCGGTCTGCTGGCAGTCAGCCTTCAGACCTTCACAGCCAGGTGCCAGCGCCTGCTTAGACTTCCTGTCCCAGACAGCGTCAGGAACAGAGCCGATGCTGGTGCTAACAGGAATGAGACCCAGGGTGCCAAGAAAATTTTCCCAGTGTTCACTGTTTGGTATTTCTTTTTTTTTCCATGCAGCATATGTGCTTTTAATTCTTGGATGAGCTGAGCTAAAATGATTATTTTAGAAGTCTGTGACCCTTTTGGTATTTTAACGGGATTAATTTCTTTTTCATTTTACTCTGAAGTAATTTTGTTTAATTTCATAAATTTATACCTTTCTGAGGTTTATAGCCACTCTGAGAAGTATTTGGTTATAAGAATACTGAATAAATTACCAGACAGACCATTACACTAATTTTCTTCAAATACTTTAAATCTTTATACAAGTTTGGGGGGCTCAGTTTCAGGTGGACTTCTTCAGTCCACCTGTACAGAATGAGTCGGTCCTGTCCTGTCTTTTCATTTTTAACGGGGGAAGGGTTAGGCAGAGGGAGTGAAGCCGTCTTCCTGCCGCAGCCCCATTAGCAGCTGGGATTACAGGAGTGCACCATCCAGCCCAGCAGTCAGACTCCACAACATAAATCCACAGTATTTAAGGTAGGACTTGAGTTATGGGAGGAAAGTAGAAGCCTCGCAGTTACTGTACGTGTGTGACTCCCTACTGGCCGCAGTTAGGTACTATATGACCTCTTACTTCAGTCCTCGGTACTGTCCGTTTGCTTAGGTTTTGTAATGTTCAAGTAGCATCAGGAATTTTCCTTTGAGAGAGAAATAGCTTCAACTTTCTTGCTGAAGCAAATCATGACTAAAGTTAGAGTAGGCTCCAAACCACAAATATGTGTTCTCACATGTGTGTTGTACATCGTGAGCACTCACAGCACATACGTATGTAATTCAGCCTATTAATGTATGAATGTTTATATACATGTATTACATAGCATATGTGCTATACCTACACATAACCTGTGTTATGTGGTATATGTATACCATGTACAGCTGCTACACACCATATGCATCTTATAGGTATCTATGTAATAATATAAACTTTCCATCTCAGAATGATCCACCGTCTATAAACTTTTGTAAAAGCTCCGAATAGTTTCTTTTTTAAAATATTGACCAACCTATTTAGGAGACAGTCCATGGCAATTTTTCCCTTCATAAGTCATCTATTTAATGTTTTATTTTAAAAATATTCTTTAGTAACAAAAGTTCAGTAACTGCCTTCCCTATCTCCTTGTCTTAGCTTCCTAACAGCAAATAGCTTTCTAATAAGTATTATGGGGTATCTTTATAAAAAAGATGATGTTGGTGGAAGTTCACCCTGTGACTAAGGCTATTAGATCTATTGCTTACTAATCCTACGTCACCTAAGCTTTATTAATAATACAGTATTTTAAGTCAGATTAAGTCACATTCATTACAATGATCCAAGAAAAATGTAATTTTACTGATACACTTGTTTTATAGCCATTTTCTGCTTTATTATTTTTCATTTGTGCTTTTAATATTTCTTTATATATTACAAATGAAAATAAGCAAAATTTGTGTGTGACAAGTAAGTGAAGTAACAATTGTTTACACTTATATGAAATAACTGTACGTGAATTGGTAGCACATAGCACCACCTCATGCTCTATATAAGAATTACAAGATCTTATTTTATTTTTATTTTGTTATAAAAAATTCTGTCATGAATGGAATTTCTTATGTCTTTCCAGATTTTTAAAAACTCCTTCCATTTTTCTCATAATACTCAAACTGTGTTATTTTCAAACTGAGTTATTTGAATGATCCAGCTACTATATCAGTGCTTTTTTCTTCTAATTCATAACAGTTTAGTCTAGATCCAAGAGAAAAATCTATATGTTATTGAAAGTCTTTGAGTTTGAAAGGAAATATTAAGTTGCATATGCACTGTGCACCTGAGAATGGGCAGATCTTAAGAAGCAAATGTCTCCTTTTACAGAGTGGAGCTATGAATTCTTTTGGTCGTGCTATTCATAGTGTAGAATGCCCCAGTTATCTTACTTGTGCAGACTCTTGTTCTGCCATTTCCCAGGTTTATTAACCTACGTGGGATGTGCTGTCTGGGCTGGTGTCTTCCCAGAACACTCCCTCCTATTGTAGCGTTCTTTTCACGATTTGAAACTTAGGAGAGATCTCTAATGATGTCTAACCTCTTCCTAGCTAGAGCTTAGAGGACTATCTCCTGTCAGCCTATGACATCTCTGGAAAAACTCTTATTTCTGAGTATCCCAGATGACACAAATTATCTTTGTATCCATAAACAAGCAAAGTGCTTTTTTTCACAATATCATTTAAACTAGAGTGAACTGCTATACTTATGATTGCAATACAAGTATAAGAAATGTTGCAACTACTAAAGTCTATATTTTTAGGTAAGAAAACCACGTAAGTAAATTTATCTTAGCACTTAAATTTGTGGGTAATTAGAACAATAATGCTTCTTTCTACTTTATTATAACATCATAAACATGAAATTTGTTTTAAAATTGACTTTTAAAAATTCATAGTAGGTGTTTAAATGTGGAAGAGAACAGAACTTATAACTGGTAGGTGAGAAAGAAAATAAGGAGACGTAAGCCAAGCGTACATCTAGAATGCCTGTTCTCAGGAGGCTGAGGCAAGAGGATTGTTGCAAATTTAAGGCCAGCATGGGCTGCATCGTGAGTTCAGGGCCAGCCTGGACTCCATAGCAAGACCCTGACTCCAAAACGAAACAAAAGAAAGGAAGCAGAGAGCCCAGGTGCGTGCTGTGGCTCTGCCATTGGTGAGAGCTGTGACACTGGGCCTGTCACCTTCTTTTTCATTGGAAAGGAAATATGCACCAGATTGCTTCTTCAGCCTTTCTGCTTTTAATGCAGGTTGAGCACTATTGACTCAGAAATCCAAAATTGCAAATGTTCTGAAATCTGAAACTTTTTATTTGCCAACATTACATTTTAATTATAAAATTTCACAACCTTATGTGGTGGTCACAGTATAAATGCAAGTCTCACTGAACATGTTGTGTAAAATTATATGACCTGTATTTATAAAATGCATATGAAGATAAGGAATTTCATGTTTAGACTTGGGCCCTTCCCCACGGTATTTCAGCACATATATGTAGGTATTCTAAAATCTGAAAAAATCCCCAACCCAGAACACTTCCAGTCCCTAAAAATTTCAGATAAAGAATGCTTTACCCATTCCAGATGGGTAAATAGAAAAAAATGTGTTCATAAAATGCATCAGATAAAATCCCATCAGATGGTGCTATAATCAAATGGCTTAAAAGTAAAACACTTAAAATTGGAATCCTAGTGTGAAATGTCTCAAAGCACAACTTGCCCGAATGCCACGTACCTTTCTGTTGTTGTCCTTAGTAGTTTTGGGGCCCAGGAGCATGCTGTGGGAAAACCAGCTGGCGCCTGTAGGTCAGCCTGTGTCGGGCCATGTGCTCAGTCCATCTTGGAGATGTCTTGGGAAGGATGCTTGCGCTTTGGCTCAAGGCCAGGTTTGAACCTTATGGTGTTAGAGATAATACAGTTTTTCTGTTTGGTATCCTCATGATAAAGTCTTGGACTCTAGACTTAATATTTCTATAGACTCCTGTGTGTGTGTGTGTGGTCTTAGGGATCAGACTCAGGGCCTCTCACGTGCCAGACAAGCTCTCTATCACTGAGCTGCATCCCTGGCCCACAAAAAGCTCCTTATAAAACTGGTCTGTGTGACTTCTGGGTACCTGATTTTTTTTGTTTGTTTGTTTGTTCCTTTTTGAGATAGGGTCTCACTATGTAATCCAGGCCGACCTTGAACTCACAGCAATCCACCTGCTTCATCCTTCTAAATGCTGGGATTACAGGGCTGTACCACCATGCCTGGCTATCTTTTCTTTAGAGACTTTTCTTAAAGGGCATTTAAAAGTTTTAAGATTGTATCATTACTGTTGAACTACTTTACTATTCAAGCTTTCAGTCAGTTGTTATTACATGAGCTATCACACCTTCAGGGTATAAAAGATAAGTATATTTTTAATTCTGAGAAATTAAAATGTGACTTAAGTAATTGGGATTAACCCTCTAAATATATTGTCAATGACAGGAACACACACACACACACACACACATACACACACACACACACAAACTTCCCTAGGAGGTAATACAGTATACATATAAAGTGATCATTTTAATAAACAAAAAATCTGGGCCTGGTTGCACACATCTGTAATCCCAGCTCTTGGAAGTCGGAGGCAGGAGGATTGCCACAATTTGAGTTTGCCAGCCTGGGCTACAAAGCAAGATGCCATCTCCAAAAAAAGATGATGAAAAATGAAGAAGAAGGATGCAGAAGAAGAAAGGGAAGAAGGAAGGAGGAGGAAGAAGAAGTTAGGTGGCCATAGTGTAGGCAATTGTAGATTCAATTCCTAGGACAGAATATTAGGCTAGGGTCAGTGATAGGTCAATGCTAGGTTAGGACTAGGCCTAGTGACAGTAATGGGTATGGGTACCATGATAGGGAAGGATTAGGATAGGGAGTATGGTGCCACAAATTGAATGTACCCCAAATTTACCAGGTGTGATGGTGTGCACACCTGTAATCCCAGCACTCTGGAGGCTGATGCAGGAAGATTGTTGTGAGTTTAAGGCCAGCCTGAACTACACAGCAAGACCCTGCCTTAAAAAAAAAAATAAAAAATAAACAAGAAAAGCTTATACAAGTTAGAAAATAACGAAAAGTAAAATAAATGAAGACAGTGCATCCATCAGAGCATACCAAAAGAGTGAGTCTCTTCATTACTTTTCTCTCATTTCTGAGACAAACTACCCAAAGTTAAGGAAGCAAAGGTTTATTTATCTCACAGTTTCAGTCCATAATACCCTGGCGTCAAGGCAGGGTGGCACATGGCAGAGGGGCAAAAGTTCATGGCAGTGGAAGATAGCAAAAGCAGCAAGGAAGAGGGAAGGGACATGTGTTTTCCCCTCTCCCGTGTTACATGCAGGCTGCCCGCCCTAGGGCAGCTGTAGCCCTCCCTGACACCCTTAATCCCAGCGCTGGACCATGAACCAGTCACAAACTCTAGATTCAGTTGCCTCTGAAAAGCACCCCCCCATAACTTCATTACAGTGCCATGACAGTGGGCAATATCTAAAGTAGTCAAGCGATTTTAGTAAAATATGTAAGAAAAGTGCCAAGGCTGTAAAGGTAGAACCATGAGATGACAGTAGAAAATCAGATGGCTTGGCAGTCCACTCACACAAAAGGGAACAAAAGCCACACACATGGCAGAAACAGCCTTACAAGTGGTGATCAGAGAACTTCAAAGCTGTACAAAAATTTGTCAAATACTTGTGATATATAAAAATGTGCAGAATATTGTATATACTGAATATTTCTTCATTTTTTACTTTTTCAACTAGGTCTTCTTGATACATTTTAGATACACATAAAGGTCACATTTATCATAGAGAAGTTGTACATGCCCATGACATAACTTGTTTTTCTTTCCCCATTCTTCTGCCCTCCCTTCAGCCCACCTTCCCTCCCCATTTCTAAAAGCTTTGTTTTTGTGTTTTTTTCCTCATTCTTTTTACTTTTCACTTCTTTCCTTTTTCCATCTCCTCTGCCTTGTCCCCCTCCTCACTTAAACATTGTTGGCCTATGTCACAAGGCCTAATACGCATCTTGGTCCTTACTTGTACTTTTGGTTTCTCACACCAGAGAAACAATATGGTATTTCCACATGTGTGTCTTATTTCTTTTACTTGAGTATGGACTCAAGTAACAGCCCACATCTTCTTTATCCATTCACCAGTTGATGGGCACTTGAGCTGTTTGCAAGACTTGGCTGTCACAGACTGTGCCACTACAAACATAGCTGCGCATATGTTGCTGTGGTGTGATGCTTTTAATTCTTTTGGGAAGATACCCAGGAGGGCAATGGCTAGGTCAAATGGGAACTCTAGTTCTAGTTTTCTGAGGACTCTCCACACTGACCTCCCAGTGGCCTCACCAGTCTGCACTCCCACCCACAGTGGAGAAGGGCTCTTTTTCCCCACAGCCCCTCCAGCATTTGTTATTTGGTTGATTTCTTAATGACAGCCATTCTTCCCAGGTGAGGTGCAATCTGAGTGCAGTTTTAATTTGCATCTCTCAAATGACCAGTGAGGTTGAGCATTACAATGAATGGCTTATGTACCTACATCTTAATCAAGAGGCCCCCCCCTTCCCCTTCTGTACTGGGGAGTTGAGTCCAGGACCGTATACTGAGCTTCACCCTCAGCACTCTCTCTTCTGTTGTTTTGAGACAGGCTCTCACTAAGTTGCTAAGTTGTCAGACCTGGACCTGAACTTTGAGACCCTGCTGCCTCATCCTCCCAGAGTGCGGGGTTACAGGTGTCTCCTGCTATGCGTGGCTCTAACTTCTTTCTTTTTCAGCAACAAAATATTTTAGATATAAGATTAAATTTTAAGAATGAAACATAAAGTGGTATTTATTAGAATGCAAAACCTAGGACCTTCTATAAGGTCAATATTGAAAGGATTACAGAAAAATCAGTGGGATGGTAGAATTATAGGGATTTTCTTCTGTTTCAAATTTCTAATTTTAAATATATTAAAATAAGTATGACTTAATAGAAAAATGATATTTAAGTATATGTTAGGGATATGTAGCATTTTAAATAGTGTATGTAAGTCTTTTTATAATGCATTGAAAATATTTGTGATGGTTTTTTTTAAATTCAGGACCTTGTGCTTGCCAGGCAGTTGCTGTGCCGCTGAGCTACATTCCTGGCCATGATGTTATTCTTATAGGACTAATATGCAGTGTATCTCTTGAGTAGTTTTCAGTAGTATTAATGCCTTGAATGGAATGTCTAACGTGTAAGTGCTTTTACAGGTAATTCAGAATCTTTCTTTATAATGTCACCTCAAAGCCTCATTAATGGTCCACTTTTGGAAGTAACTAGGGATAGAACAGAAATACACCTTACAGTTCTGGTAGCCAAGCCTACTAGTGAGACAGTGAAAAACATTTTTGTACACACCTGTGGTATTAGCGTGGCTTAAGTTTGGTAAACGCCCTTTACTTTCTGCCCAGTGTGCTGTTTTCACATTTTACCCAGTTTTCGCTCTAAGATCCTGTGTAGACGGATGGATCCAGGCCAGGAGAGGGGCTCTGGCTACCTCATGACAGGTAGAACCATTATAGGAAGTTCTTTCTCCAAACGGACCTTTTCTGTGTATCGGCATATTTCTGCAGCTCTGGGATTTTTATTGGGCATTCTTCTAGTTACTTAGAGCTACGACTCCTGCTTTCTCGGCATCCACAGTCTTACTGCTGCTCTTCCTCTCAGTTCTTCCTGTCTTCATTTTTCCTACGCCTCTCGCCCTGGTCTCGCCCTGGTTTCGCCCAGATGGTCCCGGCAGCGTACTCCCCACTGGGCTTCCCTTCTCCTCCCTCTTCCATGGCTTGCTCCCCACTCCACAGTCCCTTGACTTTTCACTGCTCCACGGTGCTGATGCTCATGACGGAGCTCTCCGATGGCCCACTGCTGACATCGGCGTGCCCTGCCAGGTAGACAGTGCGTGGGGCTGGCTGCATGCAGAATGCCAGGCACTGGATTGACCTCGGGTGTGGTGTTCTGCTTTAAATGGAGTTCTGTTTTATAATTGACACATCACTGCTGCATATAATTCAGTACCATGGCTATTTTTATTTTTATTTTTTGATATCCTGCGTTGCACGCTCCTGGAGGGCCAGGACTCTCTTTGGCATTTCTTTCATACCCACCCTGGTTTCTCCTCATTACTCTGTGTGCTGGCGACATTTAGTAAAGCCCATTTGACAGCCCTGTCTCCTCCCTTCCAGGACTGGCCGGGGGTGCAGTCCAGGGGCTGCTTCTTCCTGGAGGATGACGGGGAGACTGTCAGTCACCAGTACCGACTGCACATGGCTCAGAGGTCCACAGTTCACCTGACAATTAAGCCGCTCAACCTGAGTCAAGTTGAAGGCAAGCTGGAATTTTCTGTTTTTCAAATACCAGTTTGATGGGGCTGGGGATTAGCTCAGCGGCATAAGTACCTGCCTTGCAAGCCCATGGTTGTGAGTTCAATTCCCGGTACTGATAAAAAAAAAAAAAAAAAAACCAAAAAACCCCCAAAACCCACAAATACCAGTTTGAGGGGCTGGGGATTTAGCTCAGGAGCATAAGCACCTGCCTTGTAAGCGTCGGGTTGTGAGTTCAATCCCTGGTACCGACAAAAAAAAAAACCAAAAAAAACAAGTATCAGTTTGTACCCTCTATGCAAGTGCTTGTGTGTGACCGTCCGCATCAGTGGAAGATAGTCTGCCCACACGAGAGACGCAGGGCTGTCCTGTCACCAGATTGTGTAGAGCAGGTGTTCGCTTTCTGTGTGCTTTTAGAGTATGTTTCATTAAAAGCAGAAATGAGATGTTTTGTTTGCTAAGTATTTTAGGTTTTCCATTTATCTGTTTTAAAATTAATTTATGTAAAAGAAGTTCTACGGGAGCCTAATGTAGGATGTGAAACTGCAAGTGTATTTTAATACTATGAAAGTTCTTGTCTCTGATTGAGATCTTTATTAATAATCTTTGCATTCATGGTAATTTTTTTAATAATTTTTTTAATAAAACATTCCTCCTTTTAGAATTCCTAGACAGCGAAAGATGTCTATAGTGGCTCTTTCCTAGGTAGCCTTTTAATGTTGGTTGTTCTAAATCTGTCTTTATTTTCTCTTTTATGGGGTTTCTGTGTAAACATTTTCTTGCTTGAGAATTCTCCCTCAACCCCTAAAGCAGAGATTTTGAAAACTTTCAATGCATATTGAATAGGACACTCACACTCTTTGGTAGTTAATGCTCTTAATGACTACAGGAGTCATTTTTCTGAGAAAGGAACCAAGATAACTGCAAATACAGGGTACATTTTCTGTGTTCTTAAGAGTAGGATTCCTTTCTTCATTCATCACACACTCACCAGAGGGTCTTATAAACCACAGGCCAATGTAGACATCAGTGTGGGCGTTTTGGATGTCAGAATCCCAAAGAACAGCAGTGCCTGTAAGTTATTCCAGCAGAGGAAAGTCAGTAATAAATATGCTAAGGAGTAAAGGTGTGGTGCATTAGGAAGTCACAGTGCTACTGGAAAGCAGGGCAGGGTCTGTGAGAGTCCAGGAAGCATGGGGTCATTAGAGTTCCTTTTACAAAGAGGGCCATATAAACAGACTTTGCAGGGACCTATCAGTTATCAGCCACTGCCAAGCAGTCGCCCCTAAACACGTTAAAAGTGTGATCTGTGGCTTCGCCGCAGGCCCTTTCCCTGGAGAGCTAGGTGAGCTAGCCCTGGCATTGCAGAAGGAGCCAGCAGCACTCTGCCTTTGCTGTGAGTGCATGGCCCTGGCCTGGGAGCTCCTAGCCTCCAGTGTGCCTGCACCTGTTTTCCAGCGGTCTGGCTGTGCATGGCAGTAGAGTGCACGTCCCAAGCACTTAGGGTTTGCTGCTGACTGCCTATGGGCAAGTCCAGGGTCCTAGGGTGAGACACAGACTTGGCCTCCCAAAGAGGAGCCCCAGGCCACAGCCGTAGCACAGGGCCAGGGTCAGGGCCAGCTCCAAGGTGAGCTCTTCATGACAATGGGGCGGGACCTGGGAGAGGCATCCAGAGGCCAGCCTGGGCTTCTCCTCAGAGACCTGTCTAGGCTTTCTCTTCGCTTCTGATTCCTGAGCACCCAGATGTGTCTCAAGTGTGTCGTTCGGTTCGTGTTGCTGATGCTGTGTTGTGTTGGTGCCTATGTTGCTGTGGCTTCTGCCCTCTATGGGATGCCCTGGGTGTCTTATACCCATGGTTGTTGTCTTTTGGTTTTGTTAGAAAACCCCCGCTTCCTCTCTTCTGGTGGGTCCTGTACTACCTGCCCTCCCCATCCTCCCTGCCTCTGTGGTGACCCCTTTCCTTGGGTCAGGATGCTGGCCTAGACCTGAGCTCTGAGCGGTGGGAAGGACCTCGCTGTCGCCTTCCCTCCTGTAGCATTAGGGAGTGCTCTGGCCTCCCCATTGAAAGGACTTTGTGTGGCAGACAGGACGATCTTCGGGTCTTCACAGTTGGGGCATTGCCTGCCCAGTCTTCAGGTTGGGACGGCTCCCCCTGTCATCCCTGTCCCTGGAGCAGTTGGGTGATCTGGTGAAGCACTGGGTTGTGAGGGTCCAGAGTGGGTAGAGTCCAAAGGAAGCCACATGCTCTGATGGGGTCCTGGGGGAGAGTGGGGAGACCTGCAGGAATCGTTTGCAAAGCAGAGCTGTGGATTTGTGAGGGCCACTTTTGACAGAGAAGAAAAAAGCTTCGGACTGAACGAGATGAATGTGGACAGGACTGGAGGCGGTCAGGAGTCGGTTTCCAGAAGTGGATGTGTAGTGGACACATACCGCAGGCCTGGCCCAGAGCAGAGGAGGGTTATCCCCTGGGCACCTTCCGGAAGCCCAAGGGGTCCAGCTGGGCCGCTCATCTCCCTCGAGGTTGAGGTCACTGTCTGAGTGGATTCAGGCTGTTTAGTTGCTCCAAAAGGTCAGCTGTGGGTGAGTTCAGTCAGTAGTTTCAGAAGGGAATTGTTTTCACATGGTCACTGGGTATAATACATGGCTCATTGCAAATACCAAGATATTTATGTATAAAAATGGGATGTGCATGTCTTTAAAAAGTCAAGAGAGGAAAACCACTAACTTTTCTTTAAATGGTAAACAGAAAGTAGTAACTGGTTTCCAAAAGGAATCTGGGCCTTTTGTTTGTTTACAGGGAAACTCTCCCCATGGTCATCAGTGGATACTGCCTTGTATATCCTAAAGGAAAATGAGGACCAGGTGGACCCACAGCTCGTGTGCTTTACCGACCTACAACACAGAGAAGTATACCCACTTTCTAATACTTCATTCTAAATAAGTCAGGACTCAAATACAGTTCCCCAGACTATCGCTATTTTCTTCTATTTTCAAACTCTTACATTCTTCCTCCCACTTGAGATATATACAGTACTTAACCCTATAGATCCTGTATATGTGCTGTAACTGTGAAAGACTTTCCTGCTGAAATCCACCAGGGCAGGGCCTGAGTGCCAGCCGTGGCGTCGTAGCCCAGAGGCTGTCTGCTGTCGTGTTCTGCTTTCTTTATCCCTGAAGGCCCTGCTACCTCACAGGTGAACCGTGTTTTACACTCAGAAAGAGAGACGGGTGCCAGCTGGTTTCCCTGCTACGTACAAGCAATTGCAGACTTTTGAGAAGTTACTCTAGATGTCTGTCTTACACTTCTGCTCTACTCAGAAAAACTTCAAGGTTACTGTCCTTGGGCGTGGCTCACATTATAAGGCTCAAAAATAGCCTGATATGAAGAACTGCTTGTAAATATTTTATATGTCACCCTTGGGGTTGTTGTGACCCTTTCTAATTATACATTAGTCAGAGGCCAGGTATATGAAGCAAATACACAAATGTGGCTGTTTATTTTATGAGGACTACAAAGTACGCCTGCCATACAGCTGAGATGATACTATTCAAGTATTCAAGGCTCCCTTACACAGGCCCAGCAAGAAACAGACATCTCCCTGATGGGAGGTGGTGAGAGTCCCTCCTGCAGGCTCCCAACAGCCTGAACAGTTACAGGCAGGAAAGGAATGAAATGGCAGGCAGACGCCAGTGTTGCCACTCTGCTCTTCTTAGAGCTGACTGCAGAGTTAAGTTCGATACAGTGTTTCTAGAACAATGGCTTCCCCAGTTTGTTTTAGTGAGATTACTTTCTCATGAGATTGAATGAGTGAAAAAAAAGTACACAGCAAAGCTATAAGAAAGTCTAAGACTATTTGCTTCTACTATCCAGCCTTCTGTTTCTGTTATGTATCACATTTACAAAGAAAATTTTATTTTTAGTTTCACAATTATTTAAGATTTTTTCGCCCCCCTAAACTTTCCCTTTGCCATCCTCAAGAGCAATTCAAGGCTGAAGGAAGGCAACCAGGAGGTTGGTGAGGTCACACATGCTAGGAGTCACAGGACAGACATCGGATAGTGTCCCCAGTATCCCCCTCATCTGGCCAATCTAGAAGACAGTGGTTTCCAGGCGAGGGAGGGGAAGATGTGTCACCTTCGAAGTGACCTTCAATTCTACTGGGTTGCTCCTAGTATCAGAATAGGGCAGGTGATTTTAGGATGACTAGGGTTCCCCTGATTGAAGAAGGGAACAAATACTACTGCCCCCAGAATTCCAGCAAGCAACTTGGCTGTTGGTGACTTTCCAGGGGAACACAGTGCATGATGCAGTTCCCTCAGCAATTCCATGCAGAAGGACAGTAGCTTGTTAGCTGTCAGGTACACCTAGAAAGTGGGTCACCCTAATATATTTGACAGACAACCCCTTGGCTTTACATGAATCATTCGGGTTCCTGGGAGCTACACAGTGGGCACAGTTCTTTAGAGAACAGGAGAATAAAATGTTTCCTGTACATATGTTCTGACCCCATGACAAGTATCTAGCACTTATGTCATGTGAGGTAGGTTTGCCTTTATAGTTCACGTTATATAAATAATCATAAAATTGCAGTGTACACGATTAGGCTCATAATAGGTTTAATTCATTACAAATAATGAACTCATAAAAAGATTTTTTTGGGATAATACTGTCACTGTTTTTTATTTCTTTTTATTTGTCCATGTTTGTAGTACATAATGATCATATTCATTGTGAGCAATTTGTGCATGTGTGGAAAGCATCTTAATTCTTCTTTTATCCCATCCCCTCTCTTTAAAAATACACTTTTTGTGTCACTGAAGTCATAGTTACAAATAGTATATTTATTTCAAACTCAGTAGAAAACTACAACTTGCCATATTATTAACCTGGAATATTATTACTGTAAGGAACATCACAAATAGTTTTGAAGATTATTGGGAAAGATTTAGAGCATACATAACTTCTTACAATTTTAGGCAGGGTTTTGTTTTGGTTTGTTTTCCTGTGGTACAGGCATCCAGGACCTTTGCACTGAATGACATTCCTAGCCCTTTTAAGTTCACTATGGTTTATTTGCTGGGGTGTAAGCTGCTAAATTTCCCGGCGTACGTGAAGTTCCAGGCCTCCTCTCTCAGCTTCCCAGAGTGCAACCACACCTGCCTGAGGCCCTTTTAAAAATACATAAAGAGCCCCCACCTGAGGGGCTTACACTGGGCCCCCATCATCCTTATGAGGCTGGCACAAGTGCTTACCTTACCATGAAGACCTGTCATGCCCCCTTCCTGGGAGGGGGACCCAGGTGTGACCCAGTTGTCTTCGCCCTGTTCGGCTCTCTTGAGGACAGGGGTTTGGGTGGACCGGTGAGCTGACGCCTGGGCTATACCGGCTGCTCCCTTCCACTTCGGGCTGTCGGCTGAGGAAGGAGAGAACACCAGAGCCAGAGGAGGCCCAGCTCGTGTGCAGAGACGATGCCGGGGACCTGTTCCTTACGCAGGCATTCAAGTGAGTTCTGTTTTCTGGGGGGAGTCACGGCAGCAGCCTGGCCATGGACAGCAGCCCAGCAACCTTCCTGGGCCGGTGGGGTGGACCCAGATATGGACCAGAAACCCAGGGCGCTCACGGGGACAGGCCCTTTCCCGCCCAGTGCAGACACTAGAGAGTCCAGGTCACAGCCAGGGAGAAGTGCGCCCAGCAGGCCAGGGTGAGGGGATCCCCAGAGTGGAGTGTCACCATGAACCATGGTGGCTGCAGTTAACATGGTGTCCTGGACACTGTAAAATCACCAAGTGTTTTACAAGCCCTCTCTGAAAAGAAGCACAGGAAGGAACGTGCAGCAAATTCTGCTCTACACCCCGAATATGAATGTGCAGAGCAGCTGCAAGTCACCCTGCCACTTCGGCTTCCATGCTCTTTCCAGCAGCATAAGTGGCTGCACTCGCTTTCCCCCGCCCAGCCCGCTGCTGCACACTAGACTTTGATAGCTGTTAAATCCAAATCCACATCGCAGCCCAGATGCACACAGGCGGCTCTGGCTGCAGGCAGAGGGCAGGGGGAAGCAGGGGGAGCTGGAGGACAGGAGGGGGCCATGCCCTCATCACCTCCTGGCTGAGGTAGGAGGCCGCTGTCCGGCCCCTTGATCCCACAGCAGCTGAGCAGACTGCTGGGGTACACCGTAGTTCACCAAGGCTCCCCAGGCCTCAGTGCCACAGCCTCCAAGATTGTCGTCATGAAAACTTTCAGTGCATTTGTCTGAGAGGCACAAAATGGCTTTCTGCTCTTATAATTTCAGGGCCGCGCTCTCGGATGTGTTCGACGTGATTGACCTGGATGGAAACGGCTTCCTGAGCCTGGAAGAGTATAACTTCTTCGAGCTGCGGACTAGCGGGGAGAAGTGTGGGGAGGAGGCCTGGCTGCTCTGCAGAGGTGGGAGCTCCTCCCCAGGGTGCAGAGGTCCCCTAGCTCTCAAGCGGGAAGAGAGTTTAAAAGTATCAACTTTGGGTAGGGAGATTTAGCTCAGCAGTGTGAGCGCCTTCCTGGCAAGCCAGAGGGTCCTAATACTTAAAAAAAATCAAAAGTAGCAGCATTCTTTGTAAGATGCCAGAAATTAAACATTCATTTTTGCTAGAACTGTGGGGGACCAGCAGTGGCTGAAAAGATAAGAAGTATGAAATATAAATGACCTTTATTTTGAGAATGCAGAGAGAGACACCCCCGACTCCCTGGGGCATGGCATCTCCCCCCCCCACCCGGGGTCAGTGATCTCTCCGTGGAACACGTGGAGAGAAGGCATATAAGTAGCCTTGGTTTGGGGTGGAACTTAAGGGGGCATTAGGGATGCACCGGTAGGCCACTGGTCTTTGTTTGGCACCATAAGTAAATTCCTAGGGGTGGGGGAGATGGAGCTTCTTGGTTCTGCCTGAGGCTTTACCAGCTACTGTGTCCTGTCTGGGCCAAAACTCTTTTCAATTTTCCTGAAATTTCCTTAAAATTTTCCTCTCTTTATTTTCAAGTGGTGTAGTACTCAAGGTCAGCGGAAATGGCGAAAGAAACAGACTCCCTACTCTAAAGGGGTGTGTGAGCGTGGTTCTTGTTAGTGGAAAGTTTGAACAGCATGATGGGCTGTGAACTGATGCACACAGTGACAGCCTCCCTCTGGACTCGATGCTTTCTGCTTGGGAAGCATCTGCCACACCTTTTGGCTGCTCATCTGGGGAGTTTGTTTTCTCACTGCTGCGCTTCAGGAGCTCTCTGGGTGCCGTAGTCCACGGCTTGTATTTCCATTTTTCCGCAACATCCTTCTGGAGTAGATGGGCTCATTTCAGTGGAATTCCACTCAGGAGTTTTCTTCTTGGATCACTGTTTGGGCTTGCGTGTTTTTTATGTTGTACCTAAAACCTCCTCACCAAACCCACAGTTACCTGGATTATCTCCTACGTTATCCTCTGGAAGTTTCATAGTTTCATGTTTTGAGTCTGCACTCTGTTTAGAGTTAATTTTGTGGAAGGGGTGAGGTCTGAGTCTCTTCACTGGTGTACTCAGCACCAGTCTCGGCCTCCCTTTCCCTTCCAGCCACATGGTCACCCCTGGGCTCTTCACCTTGTTCCCTTGATCCGCTTGTCAGATTTTCAGCAATACCCTCTTGATACTATAACTTTACAGTAAGTCTTACATCAGATGTTAATAGACTTTTAAAATTAATGAGCATGGAGAATTTCAAGTTTTAAAAGTCAGACTCAGGAGGCTGAGGCAGGAGGACTGCCATGAGTTTGAGGCCAGCCTGAGCTACACAGTGGAACCCTGTCTTGAATAACCAGAAAAAGAAATCAGTGAGATATGCTAGTCTCCACAGTACAATGCAGTATCAAGTGTTTCTTTGTGTCATACGAATATGCCTTCTCTCTGCACTTTTTACTGCATAGTAGCCCCTGCCTTTATTTTATTGACTGCTTTCTCTCCATGACCTGATTAATCTGAATACATGTTTTTCCTTGTAAGCATTGTTGTCATTTCCCCCTCTAAACATTCTAGGCTGTTAGCTGTCGGCTGGATGCAGACAGGTGTGTCTTCCCTGCTTCTCTCATGATAATGTAGACAAAAGAGGAACTGTCTCAAGAGTTCCCATTTCAAGCCAGGCATGGTGGTGCATGCATGTAATCGCAGTGCTCAGGAGGCTGAGGCAGGAGGATTGCTGAGTTTGGAGCTAGCTTGGCTACATAATGGGACTGTCTCAAAAAAACAAAACAACCCCCCTCAAAAAGCACAACGAACACCCATTTCTTTGAGCATGTTAGATGGAGTCTGGGAAATCAAATCCTTATAAGGATTTGATTGCAGTTTGATAAGCGCCTGTTATAAGGTGCTTATCAAACTGCAATCCATAAATGGCTGTTTATTACTTACAAACATCTCGGTATAAATGTGACATAGAAGAAAAAATAGACGTACACAAATTCAGAAATTACTAAATATGGCACTTCTGGTGAGTTTAGTTTTATTCACAAATAGTGTTAAAATGGGGGTACTTAAACTCATGTAGGGAAAATTGAGCTCCCCATTACCTGACAGCCTTTCAGGGAACAAGGCACAGCCTGATTAAACTTGGAAGACTCAGGCGTATAGTAGGCTGCTTGAGGCTGGCACGACCTGTCGCTCCCTTCTGGAAACTCAGTAGTCTGGGGGATATAACATCAGACTCCTCCAAGTCCTACTGGGCCAAAGGGGCACATATGTATAGGAAACATTTTAGTTTTTGAAGTATTAATGTAAGTTCTAAATGAGTAGGCAGGTTGAAATTTACCCAGAAAAATTATAATTTCCTCTAAATTTGGACTGCACGTGCACTATCTATAACTTTGGAATCACTGAAGAACAGTTTTTAGGAAGGATCTGTCGGAACTCTCAGGTGCGCTGCCTGGGCCAGAGACCAGCCATGGGAAGCTTGGAGAGCCTGGCTTCCCACGCGGGCAGACCCTGCAGCAGGCAGGCCTCCCCTGAGACGCGCACGAGTGGGTGCCGAGTGTCCCGGCATCTGGATTTCTAAATCATCTAAAACAGAAACTTGGGGTTGTTTTCCCAGAGCATTTTGATACCAAGAAGAACGAACTGACCAGACAAGGATTTATGGACCTGCACCTCATGGAAGCCAACGACCGGGAAGGCGACCCCTGCGACCTCTGGGTGATGCTGCGTGCCATGGGCTACAACAGGGCTCTGGAGCTGAAAGAGGTAGCGCCCCGCCATCTGTGTGCGCCTTGGCATTGGATGCTGGGGCCCTTGGATCTCGGTCATGTGTGAATCAGTACTGGGCGTGACGGCATGTTTCTGCTACTGTATTCAAGTTCCTGTTCTTACCTGAAATTTAGTTACTGCCACCTCTTAAATAATTCAGAGGGGCTGGGGATTTAGCTCAGTGGCAAAAGCGCCTGCCTGCCAAGCGTGAGGTTGAGACTTTGATCCCCGGGGCCAAAAAACAACCAAACAGACAAAAAAAACTACTAAAAAAATAATTCAGAGATGAGAGTTTGAGCATATTATATGCAGGAAAAAACTGAAAGTTAAAAAATACGTGCTTTAATTGGTAAAGGCTATTTGGATTGCTGAAGTCCAGTTTATGTGGTGAACGTTTAAATGTTAAAGCAGTGTACGGTAAAAGACATGTTGCCACCAACGCCCCTCAGTCCTCCCCCTTGCTCCGCACGCACTCCTCCCATTGTTCTGGCCAGGTCCTGTGTAGCTCTGCACTGCTCTCTCCTGAGGGTCTTCAGTGACGCCGTCCTGGCTTCTACCACACCCTGAATCCATTTAAAACCTTCCTTTTCCTTGTCACTTTGATTTGGGGGAAAGTCGGAGGACACAAGGTGCCAGATCCAGTGAGGCGGATGAGGACAGCACTTTGTATTTTAAGGAGCTGCCTTTCCATTGGTTTCAGTTTGTGCACTGACGGTGATGTCAGCCTGTTTTTGATCTGTGAGTTCGGGGAAATCATCTGTTGGGCAGCAACGTAACACTGTGGACCTTAGGGTTTGAATACTCTGAGATGGGCAGGTGCCACTAGTAGTGCTATAAGAAGTGACGGGCAAAAAAAAAAAAAAAAAAAAAAAAGAAGAAGAAGTGACGGGCAGGTTCCCCAGAATCACTACCCCAGAGTTTCCAGGTGTGCTCAAGAAAATTAGTCCCAAGTGTGCCTGCAGTTCCTTTGTGATCACCTCTTTGTTACTGCGAGCGCTGCGGTGCTAATCCAGGTGCAGCCTGAAGTGTTAGCGCAGGTGCAGGCTGCTCCTCTTGGTCAAAAGAAAATCCAAGGCTTCAGGAATCACCTGGCTTGCATGAGAGAAACTATACTGGCTTGTGGCACCCCAGGTCTTGGGCAACGTGCATTACTGGCCACGCATGCACTCGGCCCTGAATTTAATGCTCAGCATCAGAAAATAAACTGTGTTCTTCTTCCATTAAATTCAATTCAGCTTTTCTTTTTAATTTGCCAAAAGAGTGACCACTAATGCATGTGAATTTATTCATTTATTCAGCAAATATTTATTGTGCAACTACTCTGTGAAAGAGGCACTGATCATACAGTGGTGAATGTCTTAGTTACTTTCCTTTATTGCAGAGACAAAATAGTGAACACCCAGAGTTAAAGGAAGAAAGGTGTCTGTAGCTCATGGTTTGTGGAGGTTTCAGTCCCTAGTCGCTGGCTGTAAGGCAGGGCAGCAGGACAGAGGGGCCAAAATCCAGGTGAGGTAGCAGCGGCAGCCTTTTCCCCCCACCCTTCTAGGCGCCCCGCTTTACCAGGGTGGCCCTCTCGTTACCCACACCAGAGTAAACTGAAGCAATCTGGGACCCACACAGCCTTGGCCCCAGCCTGCCACATCCCGGATCCAGCCATCCTGAAGAAATTACGCCTGTGATGTATGCAGCTCTGGGGACATGAGACACTGCCCTAGATTGAGTTCCTGCTCTGCGCAGGGCATACTCCGAGAAGGAAAGTGATTCCTGTGGAACTTGGGTCCAGTCTTTCCCGACAAGGCCAGAGCTGATGCCAAGGCATGGGAGGGGCGGGAGAGCAGGAGGGTGGGAGTTGAGCAGATCCTCTGTGCAGGGCAAGGGGCGCAAACCAGCCTGCCCCCGGGGAGGGCACTGCAAGGGGCCAATCCCCCAGAGCCTGTGCTCAGATCTGCACAGATCTGCACAGGCAGCAGCTGGACAGCAGCAGGGGAGTGTGGGGCAGGGAGCCCAGGGCCACTGTGCTGCCCCTTGGAGGCCTGGGACACTGCAGAAAACAGTTTTAGACACCAGAACTGTTGAGTGTTTTTAGACTGTTGGTATTATGGGTTTAATTTCTACATTAAATTCTTTTCAAGGCATTAGGATATGTTCATGCGTTGTTTCAGTTGCAAAAATGATGACTTCTTTGAATCTCTTGATGAATTCTTTTGATAGCCTTCAAGTTAGAGAAAGAAATGAGCAGATCCATGGTGTCTGAACCTGGGCTAGGGGTGCCGTGGTTAAAGACGGCCTCGCTGACTGGTGAGAGGGTATTTTTCCTTCTCTGTGAACACTGTCGTTGAACATGCTTCCAAGAAGTCAGAATCTCTTGCTTTCTGTTAGTCCATTCGTAATACTAACATTTCCTGATACCAGTGTCTGGAAAGGAAGCTACGAGGTTTCGTGCACCTTCCCAAGTCACGTGGTGGACACAGAGGTACAGATGATTCACCTGAACCTTGGCAAAAGGCTGAGTCGGGTCTCCTTTTCCTCTGTGGCAGGCGTGTCCATTTGTCATAGATCTCCACGCAGAAAGATGCAAGCCCAGGCTGAAGGCCGTCAGGATGGAGGCGAGCAGGGGGCAGCTCGAGAAGGCCACTTGCCAGTCTGTTCTCCTGCAGGGTGAGGCCAGGGCCATGGACGGCTATGAGAATGTCCTCGTCCACACGCGCAGCTGGGACTTCCGGATCACGTCAGTCATTGAGAATAAGGTACTGGCTCTAAAGCGCTCCTGGCTATTCAGCTACCAAGCTTACACATCTGTCCTTTCTCACTCTCTTTTTACACAGCCATTAGATATCCCATTAGATATAATCTTCATACTGAATAAGTGTGCTTCCCATTTCTAAGTCAAATGTGGCGTGATAATTCTTACATGATTTTAAAGGCTTGACATTCCTGTTTTCCTTTTAATGTATGAAAATTAGATATTGAAGATCAGTGAGGAGACAGTATAATCTGAGCATGAAGTGTTATGTTTCGTCTGTCACACAGTAGGGGGCCACCAGAATGAGTAAAGCCTGGCCTCACTTTCAAGGAATTTGTGGCTAGTTGGAAAGACAAAATTAACACTCCCCGGGGAGATGGGAGAGCAGTGGTGTTAGGTGGCACTGTGCTGTTGGGCCATGTGGTCGATTTCTGTGAGCATCCCACAGAGCGGATGTTATCTGAAAATCGGGACGCAGAGCCAGGGCTCTGCATGGAAAGCCCAGTCCACGAGTATCGAATCTCAGTCTTCCCACTGCATGGAGCCTGGGAGGCTGAGCCCGGCCGTGGCTGCTGCCTTTCCTGCCTGCGCCCAGCCTGACCAGGATGAAAGGGTTAAGGGGTCCCCACCCTAGCCCAGCCTCTCCACTATGCTGTTGTCAGGCACCTCGTGACTCCCCACCTCTGTTAGCTCAGGGGACAGTGCAAAAGACTCTCGGCCAGTGTGGTCCTGATGCTCACAGCCCAGGGCTTGGCCCTGCACACCCATGCTTGAGGTGAGCACTGTCCCTGTCCCCTGCAAGGGGCATGAACTGGCGGAAGGTGATAGCAGGGAAACTGAAAAGCAGGTGCAGGCAGCCCAGCTTGCCACCGCCCTTAGCCCTTAGTAGGCCGACTTCGTACTCCTGCACAGGGCCAGGCTGGGCTCACAGAGCCTTCTGTCCATCACTTCCATCCTGCTGTCTCTGGTCTCTTGTGTGCCTCCAGGCTACGGCTGTGGTCTCAGACATCACTTCTCCTCCACAGCCTTCCTGGGAACCCGTCTGAGCTGACAGTGGTCCTCTGAGTCTACAACACTCCTCCTCCAGGCCTGCCTGCCAGACACAGTGTGGGTGTCCTAACTCTCTCCCCTAGACTGTCCTAGTGTCCCCAGAGCCTGGGACATGCCAGCCACCAGGATGCTGAGCAAGGGGAGCAGGAGGCCCAGCACAGCAGGGTTCTACCCGTCAGTCTGATGGTGGTATCTGCCACATAGGACTAGGCCAGGTGCTTATGATGGTCTGGGAATGAAGATTAAAGGGTAAACCCACGACACCTTTAGAAGAGGCCATGTATGTAATTGATGACAGAATACAAATGAGCAAGAAAAGGTCACAGATGTGAAGCTAAGAGAGCGATTGGTCTGAGTTTGCAGCAGGCTATGTTACAGTAAGATAACTTTAGGGCTTATGCTGAGATGTATGTCTTTTATTAAAGAATGTTCTAGCAACTTCTAGAATTTTCTTTTGCAGTCAGATAATAAGGTGATTATTCACATCAACAATGAGCTGAGTAAGAACTGTGTTAACAACAGAGGACTCAACGTATTTGCAGTGGAAGTGGCACCGCAATCTTCCATGGTAATGGCCCTGTCTTTTTTCTATATGTCTCTGGAAAGAAACTTTTAAAATTAACGCCATGAATAAATATGTAGATATGAGCCAGTCGTGATGGCACACACCTGCATTCCCACACACAGGAGGCTGAGGCAGGAGGATTGTTGCGAGTTCAAGACCAAAGTGAGCTCAAGACCAACCTCAACTGCATAGAGAGACCCTGTCTCAAAAAAAAAAAAAAAAAAAAAAAAAAAGATAAAGCCATGTGGATATAAAAGGAAATAGAAGACTGGTTTAAATGCAATATTCATGTCTGTGTCAGTCTCTGTCCACACACAAGAGGCTCTGGTTCTAGTCCAGTTCTTTTTTTTTTTTGCAGTATGGGGATTGAACTCACGACCTCATACTTGCCAGGCAGGTGCTTATGCCGCTGAGCTAAATCCCCAGCCCCTGTAGTCCAGTTCTATCACAGCTTGATTGAGTGACCCGGGAAGGTCACTTAACCCCCAGTTGAGACCTCTGGGGTGAAATGAAGCAGGTGTCAGTGTTGTAGATGCTCCACACAGTTAATGTAAAGATGAAAATAAAGTGATCTCCACAAAAGCACTTCCGAACACCACACAAAGAAACACAAAGTGGAATTAACAGTAATAGGCATTTAATTACTCAGAATATTTTTGTCTGCATTATTCAGAGGTTCCAAGATGACATGGGAAAGAAATAGCTGTTTTAGATAAACAGCTAAGTCAAGAGCCAGACGCAGCTGTAGCTCTGGTGGTGAAGAACTCTGGCTTCTGAGTTAGCTCCAAATTCAAAATCAGGGCCAAGCTGGACTCTAGAGCCGGGAGAAGGAACAGGGAAAAACATGCATGCTGAGCTCTCCTTCTCTGTGTTATCTTTAAACCCTAATATGCAGGATAATGCTCCAAGGGTGAAGAGGCAATCTTTTCTATTTGTCCAGGTAAGAAGTACTCAGTAGAAAGGAGTGCAGTCTGCACCTGCACTGACCAATAGCCACGATGGCAGGGTGGGACTCAGCCCGCAGTCCCTGTCAGACCTAAAGACGAAAAGCACCGGATTTCATCTGCACGGGGACTTGGCTCTGCTTTTGTTTTTGTTTTGAGGTAGGATCTTGCTCTACTGCCCGTGGTCTCAAGCCTGTAGGCCCACGCCATGCTCCTGCCTCAGGCTCCTGAGTATCTGGGACTCTAGGCACAGTCCACCACGCCTGGTTCCACATAGATATGCTTTACACAAGGCTGAGATGCCTCTTAGAAATTTCCCAGGAATAACATGTAAAAGAAAAGTAAAAACTTTCTGTTTTTGTATGCAGGTTTGCCAACATGTAATGCCTCTGAATGAACACCAAGAGTGGATGCACCATTGTGTGTATTCCCTCATATCCAGCTGACTCGGAGGGCTGCTGTCACGCTAAGAGTCACCACCTTAGGTTTGGTCTGCTGTTTATTTATTAACTATGTGCTATGCAATTTAACTAGTGTATCTTATTAATTTAACTTACATGCACTTACAGGTTATATGCTTTATGATTAAAGTATAAATAATTTTTTTATATGTATGGCCTTCTTTCTTAGTGGGAAACTTAAGCATATTGTGTTTATGATAATAAGTAAAAAGAAAATTACAGATAATCCTCTTAAAAGTAGTATTCAAGGACCAGGGTTTTAGCTTAGCAGCACAGCACCTTCCTGGCAAGCATGAGGTCCTGAGTTTGATTCCCCAGTACTAAAAAAAAAAAAAAAAAAATAGTATTCAGTAAACTTCAAAATTGTATATGGTTTTCATTTATCTTAACTCATAAAACTTAAAGAAAATATAACTATAAAAAATAGCCATTTTATTTTCCAATCATATAAAATTAAAACTTGAAGAAATTAGTTTCTGTGTTATAAAGTCAAAACCTAATGATAATAGAAATACTCTGTAAATTTTGTGTCCGTTTGCTGTGGCCTCCTTTTGATTGACTGTATCTGAGGTAATGGGAACTAAATGTGAACAGCATGAAGTGAAGCAGCGTGTGGTGTGAAGAGTAGCACTGAGCTGTTGGGTGCTGTGCAGTCACAGATTGGTGGCTGTTGTATTGGAAGTACGAGCACCATGTGTGGATGGGATTTTTGTGCCAGTACAAAATGGCCTGTGGTGTAAGTGTCACTTGGTTGCAGGGCCCTTGATTTAGATGTCTGTGGAATGTTCTAGCAACTTCTGGAATTTTCTTTTGCAGTCAGATAATAAGGTGATTATTCACAGCCACATCTGTGGCCGTTATCAAGCAGCTTGAGCTCTTTACACCATGTATCTGAGAAAATAGGGGGGAAATGTGAAAATATTAACCACCAGATTCTTTATAAATCAAACAAATGTGCATGTATTCTGTTTACCAGGTGCTGAGTTATGGGAAATTATCTGTGATAGTAAAAATATATAATAAAGGTACCTACCCTAAATTGTAAAGGCCTTTTTACAATTTGGTGGTCGTGGACATGAACAGTCTCACTGGAACCTGGAGATTCAAGAGGAGTATGACCAGGCACTAAAACTTGGCAACCCCACTGCTACGCCCTTAGAGAATCCTAGTGGTGTCTTTCCATTACTTGGGGATTTAACAGTAACCTTTCTGTGGGTAGAAAAGACAAAGATATTTTGTTTTAAGTTAAACTTTCTTCCAAGAAAATGAAGACCCACAGGAGTCTAATTCATAATGCCCAGCAGCTGGGTTCTAGCTCTGGACCTGTAGGTAAATGACCTTTTACAGATTACTTGAATACTGTGGTATTGGAATATCTCGGAAGACTTAAAAGTTCTGAAATGCTTGACTCATAGGTCTTAGAGATCTGTCTTTGTTACTTCTCTCTCATTGCTGTGTCAAAATACCCGACAGCCAGAGTTAAAGGAGGAAGGGTTTATTTAGCACCCAGCTTGTGGAGGTTTCAGTCCATGCTGGCTGGCTCCATGGCAGGGTGGTGCATGGTAGAGGGGCAACAGTTCAAGGTGGCAGAAGACGGCAAAAGCAGCAAGGGAGGAGCATGAGGGAAGACTTCTTCTGTCCTTTACATTGCATGCAGGCTGCACCCCCAACCCTAGCACTGGCCCGTGAATCACAAACTCTAGAGTCAGCCATCTTTGACAGGTCCGCCCCCCATAGTCACATGAGGCTTTGGGGAAACCCAGACACTAACCGTAACAGGGTCCATAACCACATCCAGTAGCCTAAGGCATCGGAAGGCACCCTTCCAGGGTGGTCCGCCAGGTTACTCTCCCAGGCGCAGGGCCGAGCTATAAGCCCCAGCCCTGCTAGCCGAGAGACTAAATAAAATGAGTGTATAAAACCAGAATAAGAAAACTACAACACATAAGCACCCAGCTCGTGGAGAGAGGCCCGTGTGTGATCTCTCCTGTCCCCACTGTGCCCACAGTGTTCCTGGTCCTGTCTCTGGCCTGTCCTTCAGTGCTGGCCAAGTCCCAGCTGCTGCTCTGCCTCCAGAGAATGCTCTCCTCCATCTGTGTGCTTGCTCCTGCCTGCACCACACGTCCCTGGCTGCTGCTGTGTTCAGTCCTGTCACACAGACATCAGGGCCACCCTTGTTCTGCTGGACGTGGAAGTCAGGTCCTGTCCCCAGAGCGGGACACTATGGCCCACTGGGACAATGGAGCCTTCAGATTTTCTTCTCTCCGCTGGCCATGCCCAGCACGGTTTCTTGCACCTGTATTTATTTCAGTAGCAACAGTGCTTCCCCCTCCAGCCCCTTGCTGCTTACTTCTTGCAGATAAAGGGCCTCTTCCCCCTTCCCTCCTGGCTCCACAAGGCCCTTTTGCAAGACTTCTCTCTTGGCTACTCTGGTGGCCAAGACAGGAGGCCCCATGGCACTGCCGCCCTCTGCATGGAGATTGCTCTATTCCCATGCTGCCGGCCTCGCACAGAGCTGCCCCTGTCCCCCCAGCATGGGCCTCCTGCAGTGCCCCAGATACCCGGTGCACATCAGAGTGACGGTCACATAGGAGAGCAGACATGTACTCCCGTCGCAGTGGGAACTTCTAGTAATGTTTCACAGCATTCATAAAGTAAGAATCAGAAGGGTAGGAAAAACCCTCACTGCCCTTCAGTTCCATTAATCCAGACTCTTTCATTTCATTAAAGATTAAAACATAATGTGTTAAACAGATTAAATCATAACAATTAATTTTTAGGAATTGTTTTTTACTACTTAACAGGCAGATTTAACTAGAGGATAATTACATTATCACTGTAATTCCTGTGACCCTAAAATTTTCCATTCTCATATTTTGAAACTAGAGTAACAAGTGTACAATATGCCATAATCAAATCTTAAATGACTGTGTTTAATCTCTGTGGATTTTCTATGGTATACTGCAGTGACCTGTTTTCTTTCAAAACTGTTGCCACGTTCAAATATTGCATGGCTTCTCTGGTGTGAGAAACCAAAATGAGTAAGGGGCATTGGGAAATGGGGAGAGAGCGTTCAAATAAGAAGGGAACAGGGTGGGGGATGGGGAGAAAGAAGAAACAAGAAATAGAAAGAAAACATGAAAACAAAGCTTTTGTAAATAAAAATGGGAGCCCAGGAGAGTGAAATGAGAAAAAAGCAGCAGCAAGCTATTTCCTGTACAGGTACAAACTACCTAAGACGAACATTATCATTATGCATATCTAATGTCCCCATAAAATAAAAAGCTTTTTAAAGTTATCCTTGCTTATTCATACCTGTGTTTTCCTGAATGGGTGACATTTTTGTTTTAATTAAAAAATTATTCTTGGGGCTGGGGATTTAGCTCAGCGGCATAAGCGCCTGCCTTGCAAGCAGGCAGTCGTGGGTTCGATCACTGGTACTGATAAAAAAAAGAAAAAGACAAAAAAAAATAAAAAAAATTATTCTTGAAAGAAAAACAGTTGTCTCTTTAGATCTGTTTTTGGTGTAGGTTAAATAGAAGCAGTAATATCATGGGTGTAACCCAGGAGAGTGGCCATGTAGTTCTGATTTTGGCCACCAGAGGGTGAGTGGTTTTTGTTTTTTTTTTTTTTTTGTCTTTTTTTTGAGACATGGTCTCCCTATTCAGTTCAGGCTGGCCTTGAGCTCACTTTGTAGCCCAGGCTGGTCTCGAACTCGCAATGATCCTCCCACCTCAGCCTCCTGAGTGCTGGGATTACAGCGTGAGCCACCACGCCCGGCTCAAGTGTATTATATTCTTACTGGGGAAGGTGATAGTGCTGTTCAGCACTGTGCTAAGTCCTTTATGACGTCTAAGACTGCTCGGGCGATTTGTTCTCTGCGTTCCCAGGTACTCTTACCCTTCTTGATAGGAACCATAAAACCCATTTCTCACTGGGATCTTAAGAAGTACGGACTCTGACTCCCCACTTCCCCCTCCTTCCCTCCCCACAAGTGCAGGGATGCACAGACACGCGTGCTTCACATAGTGTGGGAAGCCTGTCTGCACTATTCAGCCTGCTTAGTCATTTCTAGGGGGGGGGGGCGGGAAACTATGTAATGATTTGAGGAAAACAGCAAGTAAAGCAATTTAGCACACATGCAGCACGGTCAGAATGCAGAACTGGTCCCTCAGCAGACACCCCTCATGCTCCCTCTCCCAAGTTCATTCTGCCCACCCCAATACATACACAAACAGGCACACACTCCTAGCTCCCAGTTCTTCCTCACTACATATGTGTTACTCTGGTCTATTCACTGAGCAACTAGGAAACTGCTGTTTTTCCTTGGGTTCCAGATCCAGAGAAGGTTGTGCATCAGGGCCAGGCTGCTGTGCAGTCAGCTCTGCCCCTGGAACAGTGGGACTGGAGATGTCAGCGGCAGGCAGGGACGCTGCTTGGCGTCTCTGGAAGCTCTCTCCATGGATTGTAGCAGAGGCCTTTGGGATTTTGGAGCAAGCTTCTGCCGTTATCTGTAGATAACTACTCTCCTTGTAAAAAATGGCTCCTGGCCTGAGAGGCCTTGGTGGGAACTGAACACTTGACCATGGGACACCAGGTCACCATGCGACCTGAGCTGCCCATCATGATCTGGGTACCATCTGATTAACCAAGTCATTAGGTCAGACATGCACGGCAACGACCCTTCATTAAATGAAAACAGTGTAGATGTGATCGAGCCAATAGGTGACTGACCTCAGGAGAAGGGGACTTTAACAGTCCAATGGATAACGACCCATTCGTAGATAGCAGTCAACCTCTTTCTTTAGCCACTGTTGTCACTGCCCAGTGGGCTCATAAACAGAGTGGTCATGGTGGCAGGATGGAGGTTATGCATGGGCTCATTGACATGGACTCCCATCGCCAAGGCTGTCTGGTTACAACCCCTGCTGAGTGTCTGACCTGCAAGCAGCAGAGGCCAACACAGAGTCCCCAGGTTGCAACTCGGGATCGAGCTGATTCTACTGGGCCACTTCCATCAGAGAAAGGGCAGTGCTTTGCCCTTACAGGAACAGGTACTTATCTGGGTATGAATTTGCCTTCCCTGCACATATGCTTCTGCAGAAACTGTTCTCCATGGACAGAAGGAATGCCTCAGCCACCTGCATGGAATTCCACACAGCACTGCCCTTGACCAAGGAGCACATTTTTCAGACAAAGAAGTGAGGCAGTGGGCTCTCGCTCCCAGAATTCACTGAACTTACCAGGTTTCACCCCACCCCAAAGCTGCCGGGTTGATAAAATGGTGGAATTGCCTTTTGAAAATGGAATTACAGGCTCCATCGGGTGGCAGTAGCTTTCAGGGCTGGGGCAAGGTTCCCCGAGAAGCAGAATATGTTCTGAATCACTGTCTACTACATAGTACTGTGTCTCCCCACCCCAGGATTCACAGGTCCAGGAATCTAGGAGTGGCAGTGGGAATGGGGCCACTCACCACTACCCCTAAGTGGCTCCCTAACCAATTTTTTGCTGCCTGTTCTCACGGTCTTGTGCTTTACTGACCTAGAAATCTTAGTTCCAGAGCGGGGACAGCTCATGCCAGGAAGCACAACAATGATTCCATTGAACTAAGGCTTCTCCCTGGTCATTCTGGGCTCCTTATGCCCTTTCGTTAACAAGGTGAAAATGGAGCTATGGTGTTACCTAAGTGACTGACTCAGACTGCCAAGGGGAAATTGGACCAGTACTCTATAGAGGAGGGAAGGAGTATTTGGACTACAAGAGATTCATAAGGGTATTTCCTAGTGTTCCCATGCCCTGTTATTAATGCAAGTTCAACAATCCGGTGGGTTGGGTCAAGTGACAGTAACCTTTGAATTCTTTCACTTAACATAATGATCTAAGATTCACCAAGCTGTGTGTATCTGGTAGTTGGTCCTCTTCATTGCTCAGTAGTATTTTATCATCTGGTTGTATCACCATTTGCTACTTGTTCATCTGCTGGGGTGCTGCTAATTTCTGAGAGTTACTAATAGAGCTGCTGTAAACAATGACGTACAAGTCTTTATGTGAACGTGTAGCAGATGGGATTGCTGGGCCACATGACAAGTGTATGCTTGACCTCTTTAGAAAGGATTTACCACTTTGCTTTTGGGAGGCCCTAAAGGAGGCTGCCTGCTTGGCCTCTTCCCGGCTAGGGGCTGCAGCATTCCCTGGTTGATGACTGCTGCACTGACCCTGTCCCCACAGCCAGGACCTTCCCTACACAGGCTGCCCACACATGGCTCCTCTGTCCCAAGCAGACTCAGGCTAGCATCTGGAGCCCACTCAGCTCACCCGGGACAATCTCCCCACCCCTAAATCCTTTATCTGATTCTATCTGCTGGTCGCGTTTGTCGTGTAAGGTAACAGGTTCTCGGGTAAATTAACTTAATTTACCACAGCATTTAACAAGGAATCAGGAATACTGGTGAAATGAGATAATGAAGACATTCATTATCTCTTGAAAAATGTTCTTTACAATCTGTATTTTTAAAAATCTTATCTTTTGCCATCTAAAATATTAACATTTGCATATCAAATATTCATATAATTAACTCAGACTGATTTCCAGATTCCAAAAGTGAATTCTGTGGGAGAGTCTAATTTATCATACGTCAGTGCTTTCCACATGTGGACTCATGATACTGAAACACAAGTTCAGAAACTGTGACCTTTTTGGGACAGGAACAAACTTAAATTTCAGAATTATGGTCTCCAAATAGTCATTGACTTCTATTCAAATAAAAGTTTTGGGGCTGGGGATTTAGCTTAGCGGCATAAGTGCCTGCCTTGCAAGCTCACAGTCATGAGTTCGATCCTTGGAACCAATAAAACAATCAAATAAAAGTTTTAAGTGACTGAACAGCTTACAGATAAAAATGGTGAATGGTTTCCTAGTTCTCCTATAGGTAGGAATGAGTCACCTTAGCAAATTTCAATAGGCAAGTTCTCTCAAATTAAAGGACTGCCTTTGAAGCCTAGTAGAGGTGGGGCTTGGGGGGTCATCTAATCTTAAACTGGAGATAACCCCAGTGTTCCTCAATAAAGGAGACTCAGCGAACACTCAGTATGGGCAGGTACATTTGCACAAACGCGGAGTTGTGTTTTGTTTTTAATGATAATGTGATTGTTCCTTTACCATATACCACAGGAGTGCTTTTCAGGCTTGTGTGCCAGTCATGAAGGAATTCCTGTTCTGTGCTGCTTGTTTTGACAGTCAGTCTCCGTGTGAGTCAGGTAATTAGCAAATGTGAAAGGGCTAACACCTCCCCATAGCCCCATTTCACAGTGTGCATTATGAATTCCATATACCTCTGTCCGCTATAAATCTCATATGCATACTACTTCCTATTGCTGAGGTTACTGAAGATTGATAATCATGGCAAACACCTTTCTTTAGGCCATTACAACTGAAGGCAGGCGATGATTCGTGAAGAGTGAAGGTGAAGCCTTCTGTAATGACCGTTGCACTAGGAAATGTGGTTTGGCCGAGTCACATACATTATCTAGCTGGGATTTACCCCTGTCCCGTTTATCTACATTTGCACGCAAGGGCAGAGAGATTAAGAACTGCTTGTTCCTTGACTGAGAAAACTAACCAAAATCCAGAGCTTTAGGCCTGCTCTAAAGGAGTGCTTTAGAGATTTTTCTCAAGAGTTCGATTTCCCTTGCCTTTCAGTGTAACGTGATGTTCAGAGCTTGGGTTGTTAATGGATGGCATATAGCAGAAGCACCTAGCTCTTCCTCCTGCCTGGCGGGGATTCTAAGTATCGTTCAAAGACAGGCCTTTGAACACTGGGGGTTCTTAGAACCCAGGGCCGGGCCTTTTCCTCTTCCTGTGCTCTTTATTCTTTTTTCTGGGGACTCTCATCCACCCCAACATCTTCAGATACAGTCTGTCTGTGAGCAAGTTATAAATTCATCCCTTGACCAAACCTGGCTCCTAACCTCTAATCCATATACCCAACACAGTTATCCTGCATCACCCCTCCGGTGCATGGAAGATACATCCCCCTTTGCAGGCCCACAGCCAACATCGTGGTCCAGCGCATCCCTCCCGGCTCCATGCCTGCAATCCTCCAGTCCCAGGCGGCCAGGCCGAGACACTGCTTTTCACTTGCCCGACGCATCTTACCATGTCTTGCCAACACTACTTTCTAGAAACATCTCCAGCCTGCTCACTCAGTCTTTCCATCGCCCCCAGCCTGGTGCAAGGAACCTTGGTCTTTGACGGGGCTGCCTGGTTTCCCTTCAGCTGCTCAGTGTTTTCTGGAAAGTGCTGGTATGATCAGAGTATTCCTCCACTGAAACCTCTTAAACTTCCGCAAACATGGTTACCGGGATTAACCATGAAGGTGTTAGCCAGCTGAACTGAACTGGGCACAGAGGACAAACATAAGATCTCAGTTAGGTGAAATGGTCAGATTCAAAGAGGCAGAAAGAACAGTGGTTTCCTGGATCGGGGAGGAAGGGACATGGAGAGCTGGGACTTGGTGGCCACAGAAGCTCAGTGTGAGGTGGTGAAAGAAAGCATTCAGGAGGGGTGGAGGGTTTAGCCCTCGGCGGGCCTGAGCTGGAGTGAGGAGACCTGGGTTCAACTTGCAGCAGGGTAAGGCAGCTTCATCCTTGTCATCATTGAGAGGGACGGTGGGGAAGGTGGCACGATGGTGGGAACAGACCTAATGAAGGTACACTTAAAATGGTTAAAAGCAATGTATTTTATGCTATGCACGCTTTGCCACCATTTAAAAGATATCCTTTCAATTGCTCATCACTGTTAAAGATGCCAATACTTTTTTTTACATGTGATTTTTAAAAACATTTTTACTGTACATGTTTCAGGGCATAATGATGGCATTCATTGTGAGGGCACCACCCCTTGCAGAGACCCCAGTGCCTGCCACTGTCCAGCAGACCACATGACCAGGCCACCCACTCGGCCAACTAGGACTCATGCTTCCAACTCTCAATGCCACACCACTGCCCCCAGGCATCATCCCTGGCTCCCTTCGGTGACTGAGCCTCTGATTCACACTCTGACAGCCCCCATGACAGGTGGCCAGAAATAAAAGTGATCACATAGGACACGCACCCTCACTTCCAACACATGCATCCCATCCTTCTCCACTTTCTGTGGCAGCTCTGCAGTCCTCTCCTCGAGTGTGATCAGAAGCACAATGAACGCTGCTGCCGAGTACCCACTCACAGAAAGGCAGCTAGTAAAAGCCTGGGGACACCGTGTCCTCAGCTACCTTATTCACTGGTTTTGGCAGCTCTTGACTTCTGGCTTCTCCCTAAAGTCAGAATGAACTGGAAAGGTCAGGGTCCTGAATCAGTTCCATGGCACTGCCAGTTTTCACTTACAGGGACTTTATGGACAGGGTTGTCCACACCACCTCCCATGTTCGACCATGGCTGTGTGGGAACATACCATGAACATGCGGGGGAAGCATGAGTAGGATTCCTGCGATAATGATGAACTCTGGCTTGGGATTGAGACCCGGGAGCTAACAGTCCAAGGGCCCTGTGTTGTAGGTACCTTGACTGGACTCCTTTGGCTTAGGCTACAGCATGGGTCATTTAAAAGCATCCCAGGTAATACCGTGCGTCGACGCAGGGAGCACTGCTGACCCCAGGAGCCCACTGATTCTTTCGGAATTCCTTAGGAGAGGTTTATGTTCGTTTTAGGGTAAAGAAACAAGTGACCACGGATGTTAACTAGCTTTTCCCAGACCCCACCACCTGGTAAAAGTGTGCTTCCACTTTGCCAAAACGACACATTTCCCAGCCTAATCAAGTGAGTTGCTAAACCTGAAGAGTGACAATTTCTACTTTTCTCTTCTTAATCTTCAAACCCCCTCTACTGGCTGTGATACTCCTCTGTGACCCTTTTCTGTGATCCCTTCGGCCCATCCTGCCCTTGTTATGAGCCCAGCCCCAGTGTCTCCCGCACCTGGTTTTGGCTCCTACCAAGGTCAGGCAGCCCGCTCTGCTCCCAGTCAGGCTCGGGCCCCCAGGTGGCCCCTTGCGCGTGCCTGGCTTTCAGTTTTTTAAGTATAAAATCGGAAAAATACAGCCCGCGTTGAGGCTGGAAGCTCTGCACTTCGGATCCTTTCCACACTGGGGTGCCCCGACCCCGGGGAGAGGCCAGGAGGAGGAGCCGCGGCCCTGCGCGGCCGCAGTTCTACCTCCAGCTCTGGTTTCCGGGAGGCCGTGCGCGGTCACCAGGGGCGGCCCCCAGGAAGGCCCGGCGGCCGTGCCCGCTCGCTGGGCGCCCACCCTTTGCAAGCTGCCCGGCCGGGCGGAGGCCTGGCATTGGCCTGCGGGGTCCGCGGCTCCGCCCCTGAACGGCGGGGTGGCCCCGCGCCCGGCTTTAAGGAGGCCGCGCCCCGCCGCGCCCCGCAGCGTCCCCGGCCCGGCGCGTCGTCCGGCACCATGGTGCGGATCGAGACGGTGAAGACGCAGGCCTACCCTGACCAGAAGCCGGGCACCAGCGGGCTGCGCAAGCGCGTGCAGGTGTTCCAGAGCCGCGCTCACTATGCCGAAAACTTCATCCAGAGCATCCTGGCCACCGTGGAGCCCGCGCTGCGGCCCGAGGCCACGCTAGTGGTGGGCGGCGACGGCCGCTTCTACATGGCCGAGGCCATCCAGCTCATCGCGCGCATTGCGGCCGCCAACGGGGTGAGGACGCGGGCGGGACGCGGCGGGGCGGGGCGGGGCGAGGCAAGGCGGCCACTTCCGCGCGTGTCCCCAGTCACGCTGCGCGCTCGGGGTGGCGGCGTGGGGACGCGATTGCTGCCGCCAGAGCTCACTGGGCGCCCGGGGCGAAACAGGTTGCGCCCCTCCCGGGCCGTGGCCCCGCAGCCCCGACCTTGGCTGTCGCCTGCGCGCCTGGGTTCGCTCGCAGCCTCCGCCGGGCCAGGAAAGGTCACGGGGGTCACGGCGGCGCCGGACCCGCGGGGAAGCAGGCCCAGTTTGGCCTGGTGCGTGCCGGCTGCAGGCTCCCCAGCGCACAGGCCCGTATGTGTGCCCTGGCTTCCCTGCAACCAGCGGGACCCGAGTCCGGGGAACTCGGAAACACAACCCAAGAGCGTCTTGTGCAAGCCCAGAGGGCCTGGAAACGAATGCAACACCGGCCCCGCCCCCCACCGGGCCGCGTGAACGGCTTTTCTTCGCGGGCGGGACCCTGTGCAGAGGCAAACCGAACAAGGTCGTTGGCGGAAACCCCCGCGGAGGAAAGTGTGGATCTGTAAAATTGATGCATGGGGTGATGAGTCGCTTGCTCTTAGAAAACATTTTCTAAGGAGCCCCAAAGAACGACCTTCCTTTCTAAGTTGTAAAAACAAGGCCGGCTTGTATCTATCTCCTCTTTAAGTTTCCCTACAGCAGGCCTTGGCCCCCCACGGCGCCTGAGCGGTGCCCCGGTGTTCCCTTTCTCCTGGTAGCCCTGCCAAGCAGATGCTATTATGGGCGGTGGTGGCCGGTGAGGACACCAGGCCAAAGCAGGTGCAGAGGGGCCAGAGCTGGTGTGGATCGGGGGCGCCAGGCCCTAGGTTCCATCCCAGCTCGGAAATAAATCAGTCTTTTCCAGGAATCTGAGGGCAGCGCTGAGAATCAGGGCAGACCTATGAGTCCCAGAACTGAGCAGCTTCAGAGACTGAAGGGACTCGGAGTCCGATGCCTCTGGCTTCTGGTTCCCAGACTCTAAACTGTGCTCTGTATCGGTTAAGGAGGAAAGTTTGGGTTTGTCTCCTTCCTCCGCCTGTGTTCGGACAACTGCAGGTTTCCGTGCAAGCAGAACAGAGGCTACTGGGTCCCAGCGGAGCCTGCGCTTGCGCGATAGATGCTGTGGCTTGTTGCTTCCTAGGGTGCAGGCTCCAGGTCATTATTGGAGGACGTGGCTGTAGTACATGAGACTTGTCCCTCAGGTGCTTACAGCAGAGTGGGTGTGTCGGGTCCGAAGGGAGGAGGAGAGATCACAGTAGTAGCTGAATGCTCCTGCAGCTCTTCTCCTTGGAGCTGCTGCCCACGCGCTGTGCGCCCACTTTCCAGCCATAGAGCCCTGCCTCCTGTGCCCCGGATAGAGTGCCCCTGCCAAGGCAGCTGATTGCTAAACCCAGGAACACTGTCGGGCCTGGCCGTGACCTTTCTGCTGTGCTTGGTGCTGCAGACTTTGCACTGTTTACCAGCCTCAACCTTGCCCTGCTTGGTGGTTCCTGATTCTGCTCATGTGTGTCCAGTCCTTCCAACCGCTTGCGACCTCCTGTGCTGTTCCCAAGGCCACTGTCCCCAGTTTCCTGTGCAGGTTGTGCTCACCCAGTTGGAATCAGTCTCTCTGCCTTCTTCACCCTTGCCTGGGAGCTCCTTTCCACAGATGCTTTTAGGAAACTTTCCCAGCTACCTGGCTTACTGAGAGGAATTAATTCACAAGAGCTTCAGCTGTCCTGGCTTGGAAGAACACATGCAAGTGCCAGCCCTCAGAAGTTCCTATTTGATACAAAACTCTACATGCCTCTGTAGTGGCATGCCAAAGTTGTGATGGCCCAACTTGCCAGTGATATAGGGCATATAAAATGCATGGTTCTAGCATGATGTCTTACACTGGTAGTCCCAGAACCCTGGGAGGGTGAGGCAGGAGGATTGTAAGTTTCACCCAAGCCTAGGCAAGTGGCTAGCAGATTTGCCATGTGACGGTCACACTGTCTGCTCACATGTCACAAGTCCCCAGTGGGGACCTGTAGTGGGCTGCTGTGTTCTGCCTGGGCATCATGCATGGTATCATGCGGGTGGAGTGGAGGCTTGGTGTCAGGGAATGTCCAGTCCTTCCTGTCACCCTGACCTGTGTTTGTGTGTATGTGTGTATGTACTCACTACCTCCATAAGTTTTGTGACACTGCGTGCAATGTAAGTGCTATGCAAATGCTCACTCTTGGGTGCTTTTGTTGAATTTTTTTTTATGGTTTCTATTACCATTCTTAATTTTCTGGACATTCGCAGTTGGTTGGTTGAACCCGCCGATGTTGTCCTGTAGACGGGAGGCAGTGGAGTGCACCCAGGCCTCTTGCCAGGTCCTGAGTTGAGTCACCGGTATGCCCATGGTGTCTCACTTCTGACCAGCGTGTGGAGCTGGGGGCCTAAGTACACGCTTAGCAGATACTTGTCACCTGCTTGTTCTGAGTCACACACTGCACTCGGGGTCAGAGCTTCCTTGCCATTAGGAAAGATGGGCAGAAGGGCCGGCAGAAGGACAAGATGGTGGCCCAGGCTTGTGCTGCTGTGATGGGTGGGAAGGCCCAGGGAGGGTGGTCTGTCCATCCATCTGTCCGGCCATGGAGGGGATGTGTGGAACTATATCTCAGGACCAGTGGGACAGCTCAGGCGGGTGCTGGCTGTGTCAGGAATGACCGTCCCTGCCCTGTGAGGCCCTGGGAGGGAACCCTGGAAGTCTCCAACCTCTCCCATCCCCTGAAAGCCTTTGCAATGACAGATGAGTAAGAGCAGAGTTGGGACAGCTGATGTGAGTATTTAGCCCAGTAGACCTCAGTGCTATCCCCACCTCTACCCACCCTCACCGGCCCCAGCTAAGAAGGGGGTCACAAACTCCGTGAGTCCAAGGACCTGGGGTCCCCAAAGCACCTATCAGGGCCAAGGTCTCCAGTGAGCAGTGGGACTCACACAGGGTATGGACGTTTGAAGGACAGATTACCCCATCCAAAGCAAGGCAGCATAAACACCCAGCGAGTGACCACCTTCTCTTCATTCCCGAGTTCTCTGTCACACCCTCCTCAGCTCATCTTTGTGAATCTGAGGACACCTTTGGAATAATTTCATTTTAAGTGAATAAAAGAAAATGCAGATTACAGTAAAACAGGTTGTGCTGAATTGCAATTATTGAAGTATTTTTAAAAATCACATTTGTGATACAGTGAGATATGCGTGTCCTTTTCTCTTGCTATGTGAAATGACCCTGCCCCCTGGTCACTGCGTGGTGATGAACGTCTAGGACCCTGGAGCTGATCCTTCACCTCGGGCGATTCAGCACCAGCTTTCCCGATGACCAAGGAGTAGAAATGAACTAATAAGGATGTGCTTTGCTGCTTGTACTTATAACGGGGGAGCTGAGTCCAGGAGGGTTAGTGGAAGTGAAAATGTTGGTTTTGTTGTTCACATTCAGGGACCCTTAGAATTCTACCCCTGAACCCCTTAGGAAGTGGGGAGCATTGTTGAAGCCTCCTGGGGTAAGGCCCTGCCCTGACCAATACCCGCTTAGAGGGGGTGCTTCCGACCCCAGAGTGAGCCTTGAATGGCCGAAAGGAACCTCCCGTTCTCAGACCACCCAGAGGCCTTTTGAGACCCTCACCCACAGCGGGAGAGTGGCTCTTTTGTTTGTTTAGTGACAGGGTCTCACTGTGCAGTACAGGCTGGCCTCGAACTCACAGTGTAACCAGGCTGGCCTCAGACCCACAAACATGTTAAAGACTGAGATGTGCCCTCACTCCCTGTTCAAACTGAAGCTACTTTTTGGTAAACAGGGTTCTCCAGGAGGAGAGCTGGGTTGCCTTGGGAGGTGTGGTTCACCTGGTTGGTGCTTCCTGGGTGCCCACCATGTGCTATTTTCGGGGCTCGGGGCAGAGCAGTACAGGGAACAGGACCAGGGGCTGGAGCTGAGGGAGGAGGATGATAAATGCAGCTGTCAGATGATGACAGGTGCTCAGAAGAAAAGTCAGAAGCCCAAGCATTTTGGGTGGGCCGCTCTTCTCCCTGCAGTGGTTGGTGATTGTTTCCTTTACTTTGCAAGAGCTTTTTACCTCAGTGCTAAAGATTGATTTACAATACTGGGGGGGGGGGCAATTTATCCTTTTATTGTTCAATTAGTATATGCATAACAGTGATGTTCATTTTGAGGAATTGGAGATAATGTGCATACACACACACCAGGAATCAAACTCACGACCTTGCCCTTGCTAGAGCTATATTCCTGGCCCCTGTGCAGTTGGGAAAGCTTGCAGGAACACAGCAGGGAGCTCGAGACCTTCCAGGAGAGGACAGGGAGAGGGAGCGATACGCAGACCAGGGGACACATACACCAAGTAGCAGAGCCCAGTGGACAGAGGTGGTAAAATTCTTTATCATGTGAAGGGGCCCAGTGTGTCACGGATCCTAACAGATGCACAGCGGTATTTCTTGCAGATTTGCCTCGGGGTTATAAAAAGTGTGATCAGCACTGATCTGACACTTAGCAGTGAATTCCTGCCCTCTTGGGTTCTTAAGAGAAAGCCTTTATCCTGCCCCTTTTGGTTACATGTTTGGGGACCTGCAAATTAAATGGGTGGAAGACAGATTAGTAACATAGACATCTGCAGAGGCTCATAGGGAAATGACCGAAGTCTGTTGTAAGTTGTGGCTTAATAATCAAAATAATCATTTTAACGTTATTATATGGCAGCTTTAAGATTATATAATTATATTACATACTTGAGGTTATGTAATGTGTATTACATAATACATAGGAATACTATATTTTTCTTTATGATTACTATATACTAATAAATTTAAAATGAAGATATTAGGATAGGGGAAGGCAAGGAGAGCACTTGAAAGGAA